TTTTTTTTTTTTTTTTTTTGTTATTTTCTTTTTAGTTAAAACACCCACGGAATATTTTTCAAGTGATCTCGAAAAAGTTATCTTACGATTCTATTTTAATACTTTAAGTTACCTTTCTTTCTAAATCACATTTCACATCAGTTTACTAACTCGTACAAACTTTATTTAATGTTTATTCTTCATTTGTATGATAAGAGAAAGGAAAAAAGAGAAAAAGGATTAATTTTTTTAGCAAAAAAAAATCTTCGTTATTCCGACTATTGAAAATGTTGGAAAAATAAATGAAACTAAAGAATGATTTTATGAAATATTGTAAATATTTGGAGGTTAGGTATAAAAAGTTGGAGATGCAATGGCGTATGTCGACGCCATTGGTTATAGGTAATGCGGGTTCCGAAACGCGAGTAGGGGCTTTCTTTGCATATAAATCACTGGTTGAACGGCCTTAACATCTCCCGTGGGGGCTATCGCCGAACCGCCAATAAAAGCGGTCCATCGCCTTCACCTTTTTTATCCCTTTTTTTTCCTATCTTTCCTTTTTTTTTTTTTCTTTCTTTTATTTTCATCCTTGACACAGCAAAACGAACGAACGAACGAACGAACGAACGAAGAAACGAATGAACAGACGAAGAGTTACCACCCTGATTCACCAAGTATTAAAAACGACACTCGATTGTAAACAAACGAACATTTAGGTTAACTCCACCCCTCTTAATTCCCACCCACTTCATTCTCATTAACCAATCATCATCAATTTGACGTTGACTTTGACAAAAATGATCCATCCAATGATAGAATTCTGTTTTTATTTTTTACACAATGTTTAAACAAACATTCTAATTCTTTGAACAAATAATTTGTTTGACAAACTTTAATTTGATACGTGGACTAAAAAGATTCTTCAAGTTCTTGATCCGTCTGATCTACAAACAAGATTTAACTAATTAATAATTTTATTATACTAATAGAATTATGTATGCAACAACGTCAGCATAAATTACTCGTAAGTATTGATTGTATTTTATTCAATTAATTGAAAAAAAAAAAAAAAAACAAACGATATTATATAAAACTGGAATTAAAATCTTCCATTTTGTTTTCAATAAATGCAATAATGCAATTGAGACAGTGTATTAATCGTGTAAAAAGAAAATTAAGCGTAGATAAATATCAGCAATATCGTAAAAAGGAGTACGTGGGAAGACTTAGGAGAGTACACTCCTTGTAATTTTGTTTAACCATTGTGGATAATATTGTACATTGATACAATATTTGTCGCGTGTGTACGTAGCAAAGTAGCTTGATTTTAAAGTAGGTAGATTTGCTTACTTCCGTGTTCGATAAGTTAGAACCGAGAAGGGCTTAATCGCTAAATCCGGCTTCGATTTCGAACTTTATGACGAATATATTACCTTCGCTTCCAAGGTCTCCAGTTGCGCCATTCTCGGCTCCAATAGTTGTTGCTGGGTTGCACCGGTATTGGTATGTAGAGCGGTCTGAAATCAAATAATACTTATTATTATTATTATTATTATTATTATTAGCAATTTATGTTTAAACAAAACCCCGATCTAACTCTAATCATCTACACAAATTTGTCAACAAACTAATCTAACTAAAGTATGAGTTCTAAGACACATTTATACTTGTTTTCGAAACTAAAACAATAATTATCATTATTATAATATTAGTTAAATAATGAACTAATTTATATTTAAATAATATTCGAATTAATTGTTAAACAAGAAATTGTAATGAAAGTAAGAACGCTAAGACGCATTTATGATTGTTAGACGCGTGTTACAACTATAGTTAAGGAAATTAGGTCAACGTGCAATGCAAGACGCGCGTTGACCTTTCGCACTGACCAACAAAACCAGTAACGAACTATAACTTCAACGAACCCTGATCCTTCTTTACTAAACAAACTAAACAACACAAAAAATCAATGAATATTTCGAAATAATTGAATTGTGATACAGTGCCATCTATTGGAAACTTAGAGTACCTAAAGACCTACTTTTAAACTCTAAATAATAAATCCTATAAAAACTATCCTTTGTACGCAAAATAACAAAAATTATATATAATAATATTTTATTATTAATTCTTTTACATTTTCTGTATAAAAAGAAAGATATCCAATGTGTTGTAATTTATCTACGTCAAAATAATAATACAAGCACGTTCCACTTTTGTTACCAACCGTAAAATTGCATGACGAATTGGTGACCTATTATTTCATTGAAGTTTCTCACGGAAATAAAATAATATCCAAGTTTTTTTTTTTTTTTTTTTTTTCTTTTGAAACTTTTCATTAGTTCAACATAACTTCGATGACAATTATAAAATTGATCTTTTTAAAATGATCTTTTCAACGGGATACCATTATACTGTTTTGTCTGTAGAAAATAACTGTACTTAACAATTAGTTAGACTTTTGTGAATGCGTTAGAGAAAGAGAAAATGAGAGAACATAAAAGTAAAAGGAAAATATTATTTAACCCGCCGGCAATCTATCTTGTTTTAAACCCAACTCGTGATAAAACTAACGATCGTGTTTAGTAGATATTTTTTTTTTTATTTTATTTCTACGTGAAATGTACCTGAGAATGATGTTGTTGATGTTAGTAAGAAATAATTAATTTATTCGCGACCAATCATCGAAATAATCAAAGTCAAACACACATTTGATGGAATATGAAGTTTCTAAAAATCAAATAAAAAAAGCTTTATTACTTATTAATATTTTGAAAGAATAAAATTGAATATCAATGCGTGCGTGCGTGCTAGCAAGATTTGATCGTACGATTTGAAAGCGTAGGATGTTAGAATGCACGCATGCGAATAGAGTGTGTGTGTATGTGTCTGTGTGTACGTAGGAAGAGATGAGACTTTAATTCTGGAACGTTTGCAACAACAACAACAACGGAAGGAAGCCAAATGATAATTAAGATAATCATTTTCAACCAAAATATTCTTATTTAAATACACGCAACACGCATAATTATTCAATCCAAATTTCGTGAATTTTGACAAATTTATATTTCCTAAATAAATTTTACAAAATAAAAAGACAACCCATTATTTGTTGTTGTTGTTGCTGCTGTTGTTGCTGCTCGTTTTATCTACGAACCCTACAAACTTTCTTCCCACCCTATACATTTTGTTCTTTTTATCATACTATGTTACCGTAAAAAAAACAAATAAAAATAAAAAAGGATCCAGCGGTGAATCCATTTTGGTTTGGGGCCCAGCAGACCTTTCATTGGTTGCACGCTATAATTACGATAACTACCCAAGGTCTTTCTATTAAATCGAGGAATTTTGGGGACTCGGCAATTTTTAAGTTCACCTGATCTTTCAAAACTTCAACGTTTAACCAAAATAACACGTTCAATTTTATCTTTTTTTTTTCTTTTTTTTTGTTATTCAACAACAAAATCATTCATTTGTTTTAATAATTTAACGATGAATTTAACGATGAATTTAACGATTGAAAGTTTTCAAAGATTAGTTTTAAAGATGCATTAGATAATAATCACGCCTACGTGTCGAACTTATCGAAAGTGCTATTGAACCAGGTACTCTTTCTTAATTACTTTGTCTCACACACATACACACACACACACATATATATATATAAATAAAACTCACCAATGAGACTGATCGTTGTTCCAATTTAACACCAGGGCGATCGTCTTTATCGTCACCACAATCCGTTGTATAAAACAATACACTTTTTTTCGAACCTCTGTAACAGAAAGAAAACAACAATACACATACATTAGAAAGTATAGTATGTGAAAAATGAAGAATAATATTATATACAATCATACAATTGATTAGGTGTACTTCCAAGTATAATATATTTCTTAGAACATCGTTAGTACAGGATTTATTATTAGTTAGTTGACTACAGATGATGTATTGAGAATAATGAAAATACTTAACAAGATAAGTCTTTTTTCTCCTAAGTATAAGCATGAGGAGTATATAATAATTTGAAAATTGTACTAAGGTGTTACAGAAGATTAACGTTGACGTGCGTGTAAAAGAAAAACAGTTCAGAAATTGATACGATTATCTACTCAACGATGCGGCGGGGCCTGATGGTTCTCAACGGTATGAACTTTGATTACTCGTTAATTCCCTTCTAAGTCTCACAAGTGTTGTAATACTATCTTTAATATTCGAAACAAAACAAAATCAAATAATAAGAGTATAATAAAATTCGAAAGAAAAGATCAAAGGTTAAATAAAGATTAAAAAAAGAAGAAGAAGAAGAAGAAGACATGTGTGCTAGAGAAAGGTGTTAAAGTAGTTTTGTTGTTGTTGTGAAGATAATCATCACACCTGAGTGCCTTCCCATTCCTGTTGAACGGTTGACGTTCGGGTACGAGCGTGGCTGGACCGGTGTAAACCCGGCTCTCGCTCATGGCGAAGATCTTTCCAACATCTCACCTCCCTCTCTTAATCGGGGCTCACCACGAGGACATCTGTAACCAACACAACCAAATTCCTTCCTTGTATTCCCTCACAACACAACAGAAACACTCAAATCTTTCAAGTTTTTTCTTACCACTGAACCATCTTACATTCTAATATTTTTATATTTATCACAAAATGATCCAATTGGAACATTGTCAGGACTAGGATAGGACCGAAGGAGTACGAAGAAAGAAAGATAGAGAGAGAGAGAGAGAGAGAGAGTCGCGTTTCGACCCCGACCCCGACCCCAAGCCCGACCTGTGGACCTCGGAGAAGGCCCATTATTCCAAAGGGAAAGAGAGAGATGGAATGATAGAGGTTAAGCAAGGCAACAGGGCTTCCTCTCTTTTCTCATCCGGCTCTCTTCGCCCACGGAATAAATCTGTGTGCAAAAACACACATGCACACACATATATGATACATACATCTGACAAAGATTTAACTTACATCAAACTCGCGAGCCTCTCTTTTTCCATTGTTCCCCTTCGCTTATGCGAGTTAACGTTGAATCTATGCCTACGATTTAATCAATTTGTTACTTTCAATGAAAAATGTCATTGTTAAATTTACTTCAATTCATTTCTTTTTCTGTTAAATAAATAATGAATCAACGTTTATGTTAATTGAAATAGCGTTTATTATATAAAAAAAAAAAAGTGAAATTTGATTGTACAAATAATCGATTATAAAAAAAAGAAATAAATATAAAAGTGAACGGCTGCGAAAGGGAAAAATCATGGAATATTGTAACGGTCGAGTAACATCTGCCGACAGGTGCCTTTAGGGCGTTACGCTTAACTGTCGCCCCAACAACCCCCTAAACTCAAAGAAAGATCCAGAAACTTTTCGCCTCGTTGCTTATTCGCCTCGTTGCTTATTCGCCATTATTATTCGCAAAAAGGGCCCATGGCAATCCTCTCGTTAAAAGAATACGATCATTCGTGTTCCCATATGCAACTAATTCTCTTATTATAATATAAAAAGACTAATATATTTTCTTCATCTTATCCTCCTAATGGCTAATTTCGAATAATTCAAAGTTGTTTTTGTTTAATATTACGAAAAAACAAAGTAACTAGTGTGGGCAATTCGTTGAACCATACACCGCTATAAATTTGAAGTGCCGACTGTTGTGTTTGGGTTAACCGACGCCACTGGTCTTGGCAACATTTTTATTGGCCCTTTTCATTGGGATCGAAAGGATCCAACGATCGATTTTTCTTCGATCGGTGTTTCTTTGTCGGCGGCCGTTTCTCTTCGACGAAAACAACAATTTCGATATTCTCGAGAAAACAATCGATAAACACAGATCTGAAACTAATAGAAAATAAATATCATGTTAATTGAATGTTCTTATGATTCGTGAAAATGTAATTTATTGATGTTTTCGACAACAGAGTAGTCCTCTTCTGGCAAGTTGGAAACATTCCTAATCTTGGAATTATCATCATTTTTCTCCTTTGTAGTCTCGTTCATCGATGACAATGAAATATTATGAAGTATATCTTGTTCGTATTCGGTAAGTAAACTGGTATCTAAATATTCAGCAACATTGGCAGCATGTTCTAACAATAAAGAACTGCGTTCCTTTTTTATAAGCTCTTGTCTGCATGCTTCTAATATATGTTCTTCTTGAATTTCTTGTTCAATTTTACTAATTTCTTCCTCGATAATCCTTTGACGTTCGATTATCATTTTTTCAAGATCCTGACGATATTTGAACAATGCTCTTTTCTTAGCATCGGCATTTAATCGAGTTATTTTATCATCCTCGGCTAATTTTTTCGACATTTCCTCAGCAAATTGTTGATTGCGACGTAAGAAATTGGCTTTGCATAGTTCCGTCAATTTGATCTGTTCTTTCAAAGAATTCGCCAATGCTTTGGTCATCCTATTCTTGATGTCCCTGTCCTGCCAATCTCTGATAACTCGATCCAATTCGAGTTCTTCGAAAACTAGCTCCTGAAGGAGTCGTTTCTTCTCCCGTTCACTAGCGTCTTCTTCAAGAATGGTTGTCAGTAAAGAAGTTAGAACCCGTTCTCGACGTTTCTCAAGCTCGACCCTACGATTTTGTGCTTCCTTGGCCCTTCGTTCGATCTCCTGCAAATATATCCGTCTATCCCTTTCCAACTTTTCCTCTTCCTCCTTCTTATAAGCCATCTGAATGTCGAACAAATCCGATGACATTTTCCTATCCTTGATCATGTCGCTGGTCAATTGCAATTTCTTTTTTAATTTTTTCAAATTCTCATATTCCTCTAACTTGCGATCAACCTCTTCCAAATGTCTCCTCTCCCTTAGCCCTTCCTCCATTAACCTGGTCTTTTCCTCAGCTTCCCTTGCCCTTCTCTCAGCTATCTCCCTTACCATTTCCTCTCGAGCCTCATCCCTTTTGATTATTCTCCTCCTATCCTCGTCGTCCAATTCGATCGACGCCAATAATCGATTTTTCTCCGATTCCAAATGCGCCTTGGCTCTTTCCATATCTTCTTGACTTTTTTTAGCTGCTAATTGGGCCACCAATTCTTTCCTACAATAAGCTCGTTTCAATTCTTCCTCCAATTTTGTTATTTCATCCGTGGATTCACGATTTCTCAACATACTTCCAATGTTTCTTCTTCTACCACCCACCACCCGCCCATTTTCCCAATCCATTTCGATATATTTATTTGCGAAACTAATTACTCTCGTACAATAATGCGATTTAACAATGTCGTCTTATTATTATTATTATTAGTATTATTATTCTATTTATGTTTACTTTACCAATCGTTGTAGTTGCCATAAGAAATCACATTACTTAGGTGCATTGCAAGGTTATTCTGAAATCGGAAAGATAGTAATTCGAATTATACTTAACTATTCGATTGTAATTGTTTTTTTGTTTTGTTATTTTTCTTTTTTTTTTTATTTCTATTTCCCGCATACGTTGCATCGTTTGAATCTAACATTGTTCCGCGCGCGCCAACCATCGATACAAAACAAGTCAAAAAGAAATGAAATTAAAGATGTAAACGTAATAATCGTTACATCATTATTCATTTGTACGATTTAATTGTTGAAAATTGAACGATATTAATTTAATAATAAAATAACGCTTACTTTTCATTCAAATGAAATCGAACGAACCGAGTTCGATTATTCCGCCGACCTTTCCCATCTCGATCCTAGTTCTTTTCTTTCTTCCCTTTAAATCTTCCAAAGTTTTATCCGCATTCGCACTTAATTAAAATAATTAATATTAATTATTAGACACACGAATAATTAATTAATTACGTAAATAATAACATCGATAAGACGATATTAAGACGGAATTATGCGAAAAAGACAGAAGAAACGATCGAGGCAATGGTTCGAAACCAACTAACCGGCTCTTCTAACGCGCCGACGCTATCTTTTCCCAGATGGCGCCACGCGACTAATATCTCCACCAATCGCTAACGACTATTTATACAAATATATTCCAAACCAGTATGATGATTTGATATATGTTTACAATCATTTGAATTTTCTGTACATTTATTAATGTACACAACAATATCTATCATTTTCATTTATTATAATTTGAAATGTGTGAAATATTATACAAATCATGAAATATTTTTAATAGGTGGAAAGTAAAAATATTTGAGATTATCTTATTTATTTAATGATCACTGGTTCTATTTACAGACAAAAACAGGTATTTCAATTACTCTTCAAGCAAAAGATAATAAAAAAATGATATTACGGTCATAGCCTGTTTTAACAATTAATGATGAGTTTTTACTAATATAATCTCAATTTCTATTATTCATAAATGTCCTCTCTATCTGCAACATAGCGAATTATATGTCCAGGCGTTATCAATTTTTCTGCATCCATATCAGGAATTTCAAAACCAAATTCATCTTCTATGGCCATTATAACTTCAACATGATCCAAAGAATCAAGACCCAAATCATTTACAAAATGAGAATCCACAGATAACTGTAATAAATACGTGGTTAGTCAAATTCTATTTAATATATAAATACATGGGGGTTTCAATGTAAAGGTACAAATGTATAACTGACATGTTCTGTTCTATTCTATTCTATAACATGAATAATATAAATGAATTTGTGATTAGATATATTTTGCAAATGATTAACTTATATATACATGTCAGCGATACAGGAGCACCACGACTCAAGCGAGGTGTTAGCCAGCAGTTTTTCCAGGAAGTTATCTTTTAAGATATTTCTATATATGTGTAAACAAACAATATTTGAACTGTTTCAATGAAAATACATATATATATATATATACGTGTTATATATCATGTAACGATTAGTAATCGCAGTTTATCTATTACTCGTTTATAGAAATATCCTGTTTATAACAAAGCAGAAAATATGATTTCTTATAGCAGACAGATACCTTCCCTGAATCAATTTTATCATACAACTTGAGTAATAAAAGCACCCGCTGACGAATCAAATCTAATGACATAGGTGGCTTCGAGCTGTAGAGGCGCACCTGCTTGACTCGTAGCTCATCAATACCCTGTAAAATAATATTTGTCTTTTATCAAAATGAAATACCAATTCTTCAGGACATATTTCGAAAGAACTAATTCGTGTTAAAACACGAAGAGTGATTTCCTGACTCTTCATTGATGATCTCATTTGTATGAGTGCGAACAAATCCAATATGAATCTAAATAAATTACAAATGCTAGATGACAGTTGGTTTCATTGTATAATCAAATAATCCTATATTATTTATTAAACAAAAGTTAATAAATTGTTGTTCTTTTTACTTACATATTATAATAGTTCAATTTTATAGACGTTATTTGAAAGATAATGTATTATGTTGTAGTTGTATTGATAAATGAAAAAAATATGATAACTGAACAATTTTTATATAATGTAAAACACTATACAAATTTATCGATTTTCGATTTTTGACATAGGACAAAGAAATAAATGTCCACAAGAATAATGATCATTCGTGATAGGTAGGAATTAGTGAAACCTTTAAATGATAAGTAATAAAATAATAAATTGTAAGTTACATAATGTATATATCAAAACAGATCGAATTAAAGGAAAGAAAAGTTTGTTGCTTTTATATGGTTTTGAAACAATGATTACCTGAGATAATAAAGGTACGACATTTTGCCTCGAATGACAAAATAATAATCTGTTAGATGTTGATCGTATGCTAGATCCACCCAAATTTAACCGAGCGAATGAATTTATAATAACGTCGGTATTTTTCGACAAAAGACGTGCTACATTACCAGACGCCATTTTGTTTTTTGAAGAATGAGAAATAACCTTCCTTTGTGAATTATGTCTGCAGTTGAAGATCAAAAGTTTAGTAGATAATACTGGGAAAAAGTCCAATTGACCTGCCACCTAGTGGTCGCATTTGAGAGACATCTATTGATCAAAAAAGCATCGATATACGAAATATTGTTCAACTACATGATTCAGTAAAATTCTATAATTTTCTTCTTCTTATTCTTTTTATCAAAATTTTGTTTATTTAATATCCTCCAGACTGTAAAATTTGTACTGGGAGTGGTAATTTATTTTTTTACCGAGAGTAGGTTGCTAGCCTTGCCCTTAAACTTTCCTCCTTTGTCTGGTTATTTATCTAGTTATCTAGATATTAACTAGTCAGAGTTCTACACAACTGTATAATTATTAAATCGATCGAAATTTGGAAAATATACAATTAATCTGCATAATTATTTCCATTTATATAATTAATAATTATTAACATAAATATATATGTATATAATTAATCGAAACAAAAAGTCAATGAATTAAATTTAAATTTATAAGTATTGGCGGCAAAACTATTGATATTTAAAATTTGACAATGACTACTTTGTGAAATCTTATTTAATGTTCAAAGTCAATTACAAATACTTTATTTCCAATAATTACAAATCAGTTTTGCGTACGTACGAATTATAAGAGCACGATGCGTCCTTGTACTATAATATTTCTTGTATTTGTATAAGCAGACAAATATCTCTCTCTCTCTCTCTCGCTAACACAACATTTTTACAATTAAAATTTATTGATTTTCAAATACGAGCTTGATAAAACCGCCCAATAATTTGTCGTTCAAAGAATAAATATACAAACAAAACTTGAAAATATTGAAAAAAGATCATTTTCATGGGTAATGATTACAAGTTATAGATGAAAAAATGATTGAAATACAACACATTTGGAAGCCGTATACTGATGACGTTATAAACAAACAAGCAATGTTTCATACACATTTATATATTATGAAATAATTAAAACTATTGTACATCTCTCTCTCTCTTCCCTTTTTATTCAAAGACTTGAAAATGAAAGACAATTTATAATAATCGATAATAAATAATAATGAAAAATGAACTTATGATAATAATAATAATTATAAAGCAAAAAATGAAAAACATTTCAATAAATATTACTTATCGGTGGTTTTATCACTAAAACGAAAAATATCAATCCGTACATATATATATATAATAATAATAATAATAATAATAATAATAATAATAATAATAATAATAATAATATAATATCCGGTCTCATAAATAATGATTAATAATCGGGTGTTTCATTTAGGTAATCCAATATAATTAGATAATTAATTTGTTGTATTTACGCATTACGTCTATTATGTCGTTCTTGTATGGTATTGTTTAAATAAAATAATAAGTTTATATATTATAGAAAAAGGAAAAATACTCGTTAACAGGACACATGTTGTATTCTTCCTGTTTTCCCCTAAAATACTATGCAACAAAATCTACCACCTGTCTTAAATAATACTGAATTTCGCTTTTTTAAAAAAAATACTTATCTATAATACAATACGTTAGAAAAAAGGAACACACTATATGAAATATATATATTTTTTGCTTTTTTTTCTTTTCTTTTCTTTTCTTTTCTTTTCTTTCGACGAATTTTGGAATAACGAGACGTGTGTTAGAAAAATGAATACAAACAATTTCGTAGAAAAAATGTCCATATGGGAAGATTATTCTTAGAAATGACATTTTCTAAGTTTGTAATTACATATATATATATATAATAGAATAATTACATATATATATATAATAGAATTACGTCATTTTCTCTTCTATTTTTATGGGTAAGTAAAGAGGCACATTTAATTAAGAGTTAACAATCGTTTGTATTTTTAACGCAACGAATAGTTTTGGATAATATTATGTGTATAATGAATACACAAGATGGAATTATGTGAGAATACGGGACAGAACTTTGCATTTTAATAATATATATCTAATATAAAATAAATATTCACTATTTAATAAATAATTATTTTTACACGAGAGGCAACAAAAATGTCCTCGTTTTCTTCCATCTCATCTTCTTTCCACGAAAACATTTTCTCGATGCATTGTATTTTTTTTCCCCATATCTGTTTACAAACTTTGGAGAAAGAAAAAGAAAAAGAAGAAGAAGAAAAACAAAAAGACGAATTCTTTTTTTCTCATTCTCTAAGGACTCTAAACAGGTAGGGGAAAAAAAATATTAGCATAATTAACAAGATGTTCTATTTCATTTGTACCCATTACTTTGAATGATTTTACTTTTTAAAAAGAAAGGAAGTTAAAAATATTCAAAGTTCGTACCGTGCTCTCTCTTAATATTATCTTCATCCATTATTACATGTTTCTTTTTTTTTTTTCTTTTTTTCCTTTTTTTTCCCCCATTCAGCGGCAATAAGACAAAATTCATAACACTTGTTGTTTGAAAACGGTTTTTCAATTGACCACCCAAGTCAACGACGACTACGAGAGTCAAATAAATTTTGTATTATTACCATTTCTTCGTTATAATTCGTTTTGAAATATCTCGTGTCATCTATCAATCGTTTTTTTTTTTTTACTTTCTTTTTCTTCTTTTTTTTTTTTTTGGTATTTTCTTTCTTTTTATATTTTTATGGTTTTTTGTTATTTTTTTTTGTTATTTTTATTTTTTTTTTAAATTGATAGATGCACGAATATTTCAAATTCCCTTCACTTCTCAATAATCTTTTGCAAAACATGAATGGACCCCAGTATGCTTCTAGGCCCCGTAAAAAAGCAAATTGGGGCGTGAGAAAAATGTATTATATATCCGCATAATTTAATGTTTAACCATACAAAAGCCATAACACATATTTTTTATGTATGACCCGATAAACATACAAATCAATATAACTTGTTTTATAAATAAACGAAATAACATCATTATTATTATTATTATTATGATGATGATTAGGTAATAAGACATTTTTCCATTCATGAATTATGAGAAAGCTAAGGAATTATTTGAAATTGTAAGGTAAGTATGCACAATCGAGCGACAGTTGATCCATGGGTTGGTTAATCTTCTTCATGTTCTATAAAGTTCGTCTAGGCAGCAAAACCCATGAATCACCTATTTCTCCAAGATCTGCATATTGACCTAGAGCATGGCCGCATTTCATCTCAGAAAAGTGTATCAATTTTTTTGTTTTTTCGTTTTTTTTTTTTTTCCTTTCCTTTTCTTTTCTTCTTTCTTATGATCATAAACCAAATATACAAAGTATTTGATAATTGTTTATCAGAATGGAAGGGGTCTTCCTTTGATCGTACGGAAGTTCTCGCAAAAGTTCATATGTACTGGAATCTTCTTCTATATTCATTCGAAACTCTATCGAATGTGTGGTGAAAATTTTTGTATAAACATAGGATAGGAAAAGAAAAAAAAGACAAAAGTAAAAAAAAAAAAAACAACAACATTGAAAGGAAATAAGACAAGAAAAAAAAAAAGAAAAAAAGTCACAACGAAAATGCGTTAAATTTAAGGATTGACTGTAAATAATATCTTACATATATAAAAGAAAATAATAAACTTTGTGCAAGCAACGCCAATATTTTCATGAATCACTTTTCATACACTAAAATAAATATCAAACAAAAAAACAATAAACTCATTTGATTGATTCATTAGATTTTTCTTCGCACGTTAATGAAAAGAGTCAATCCAAAAATTGAACCATTTCATATGGATTATTTAGTCAACATTTATCGTAGAATTAACTATCAGGAATACAACGTCGTAAGATAAGTATCATATGAACCTTCCTTATTTATTTCTTTTTCTTTTTTTTTATGACTACATATCTGGAGTATGACCATTTTAATTACACGGAGTAAATATATTTAATTAATTGTGGATGATAATGGTTCTATCAATTCAAATTCATATAATATATGAGAATTTATTGTTAAAACCATAATCATGATGATCAAGCATCAATAAAATATTATTAAAATAAAAATAAGAAAAAATATAAATAAGATCACCCATTTTTGTTCGTATTTATTCATTTATATATAAATAACATTTGTTGTGAAGAACATTTTTCAAAATTTAAGACTTCTTTTGATGTGATTTCAAAAAATCTTGTAAATATTGAAGAATGTTGTTTTTGTATAAAATCCTCCTTACGCTTAATAATAAATTAAGTATATTAAATTAAATTACTTTTCAAACAAAAAAAATACAATAATAAAATTAATTAAATAATAATAATAATAATAATAATAATAATAATATAATATGTTATTGATGCTTGAACATATTTGAATGCATATAAGGCACTGTAAAAGATGTAAACTATATTCTCTTAGAATTGGAGAAAAGGCATAAATAGTAAGACATGAAAATCTGATGTCTATATAAAAATAATATGTTATATATTATATATGTATATATATGTGTCTGTGTATGTGTGTTACATGTATATTATCGTACAATAGTGATCAAAATTACTTTTTAACAGTCGAAAAGATTCCAGACAGATCTTGTCTTTTTGAAAAAAAAAAAGAACACAATAATTATAATACAGGATGGATTATTCAGCACCTCTTGCCACCTAAATAGCTCCAAAAGTATGAAAAATTGTATTTAAAAAAACAAAATTGACTGAACCTAGAAACCTAACAAAAAAACACTAATGTCATGTTGTAGTCGTGAATTTTTTCATACAATTTTCTTGTTTTCTTTTTACCACTTTTGGAGCTATTTAGATGACAAGAACTGCTGAATTAGCCTGTATAATTAAAAACAAAGAAGTTAGAATATTAGTTGTTCCTTGTACAGTGCCTCAAAGCAATAATAATATAATCAATCCTACATATTGAATTTTTAAATAGCAGATGATAATTATTTATCGATATTTCCATCCATAATATTATTTTTGACCTGAATACTAATATGTATTCCATCTCCGGACGCACCTTTGTCTTTTTTAGATTGTGAATTAGAAGCATTATCAAGACCTAACTTACTTAACGTGCGTAAAGCTGTTAATGCTGCTTGATTACGACTTGCGTTCGCTGTTGGACCATTACCATGACACACTTGTGGTGGATCCGTGCTTAATGTTACAAGTGATAAATATTCCTTGTGTATTGACCCACCCTACAAATGAAAAACAAATTCATTATATTGTCGATCAAAAGATTTGTCAACAATAACTAAAGTATAATAAAATGTTCATACTTGTTTCGTTACCTTAGGGAAGTCACTAAATTCAACATTGAAATTAAATAATTGGGCTAAATATTTTAACTGATCTTTCGGCGATATTCCGGAATTTTGTTGTTGTCCCCGTAATTCTTCAGCGATCACTTGAACGCTAGGTCCATTACCTACTTTAGATTCTTGACCACCGTCAACCAATAACAAGCCAGGCACTAATTGACGTCCGATGGTACCTTAATGAACGATCAAAGGAGAAAATACACCTTTTATATATATCACAATAGATGAAATATTCCATTAATTTCGACATGATGATCATTAATAGAATATAATCATCTATTATAACAATATAAAAGTGAAAGAAATTCTGTGAAATCTATTCATTGATAGGCTGTGGAATGTATTTCTTTTTTTACCTCCAACAGGATGACTTTGAGTTTCATTAACTTGATCATCTTCAAGGAAAGTTACTTTTCTTGGTTTGCTTTCGGTATTTTCCGATTCTCCAGTTTTAATTGATGGTTTAGTTGGTTGTGGCTGTGGTTTGCTATAACCTAACTTAGCTAAAAGAGCTTCTGCAGCCGCTCTTTTTGCTAATTTTTTATTAGGACCATATCCGCAAGCTGAATTTGTTCCTGTCGTCACTTCTATTATAAATTCTCTACGTCGGGGAGCACCCTTTTCTTCTATAAGATTATAAACAGGTTCTCTTTCTCGTTTGGCTTGTTGAATATGAACAAGTCGTGAAACCGGATTAAGTTCATCCACGGCGTCCGATTCAGCCCGTGGATCTTGATAAACCTTTATTAAATTTCTCGATTTTTTTTTCGTAGCTGGAGGCTTACGTTTCACGTTCGACAATCGATTTTGAACATTTACCAGTAGCGGTGGAAGACGTTTTAATTCTTCTAACATTAATTCTGCTGCTCGTTTTTTTGAAACCTAAATCAATCATTTGTATTAGTTTCAATGTATTATTAGAATTTTTTTTATATTGTGCCAAGCATATATATAACATACTTTTTTTGAAGATCCTTCTCCGACAGTGGATTTATCTCCTACGGTACACTTAGTTACAAATACACGAATATGAGGTTTACCACTTTCTGATACAACTTCGAAACTAACGGATAGACCACGTTTCAATGCAGTCTCGTGAACTAAGGAGACAGGACTTTTTAAATCTGCATTAGGATCATCAATTCCGGTTAATGTTCCATTGCTATTGGTACAATTAGTTGATACCTCTTCTGGTAAAGGTAATTGACGTAATTGTTCCAATGCTCTTTTCGCTGCGTCATGTCGTGCCAATTGGCCTGTCACACCTCGACCAGTAAATTCTCGCTCGCCGACCTACAAATTTCACGCACATACTCTTTATTATAATATTAATTTTGTTTAAGTTAATGTCAAATAATGTATATACCTTTAACGTAACAATATACATCATTGGTGGTGTAGTTTCAGCATGGTATCCATGATTAGGAGGTAAACTGGAATGTAATAATCGCGGATAATTGGCAAAACTATACGTAACTAATGGTTGCAATCCTGCTGGCGGTGCTTGTCTGAAGGTATAAACTGTAGGTTCTCCTCTTTTCATTGCCAATGCATTTAATTCTACTGTTGCTGGTACGTTTCCTATAATAAAAAAAAAAAAAAAAACTAAATAAGTTCAATGGGAAAACGTAATAATATGTAAAATATCGAAATGAAATATCCATAATGTTTGAGAATATGTAAATATACGACTACCTGAACCAGGTGAACACTTCCCGGGATAACCAATTCTCAATGCTTTAGTAGGTTTTAGCGGAGGTTGTCTATACCACGTTTTTCTTAATGCTTCAGCAGCTGCGCTGTGTTGAGCTTTCTTTATGCTAGGTCCATCCGCCACGTACTCTTCTTCGCCAAGTTTTAACGTTACGGTGAATCTTTTTTTGTGCGCCGGTCCTTCTTCATTGGTCAGTCTGTATTGATGTTGAATTTTATTAAATCTTGCTAATTCATTTAACAAGCACATTGGTGTTTTTTCTTTCATGTTTGCCAAAGCTGGATTATTCACGTTGGCATGATTTTGTTGCGATGGACTATGATCCCTTGTCTCTCCGTTACTACCCTTGTTCGTAGATGATTTAGATTGTTCCATGATTTGTTGTTGCTGTTGTTGTTGTTGTTGTTGCTGCTGTTGTTGTTGCTGTTGTTGCTGCTGCTGTTGTTGTTGCTGTTGTTGCTGCTGCTGTTGTTGTTGTTGTTGATGATGCTGCTGCTGATGTTGTTGACGTTGCTGCTGTTGAACGTGCTGTTGAACTTGATGCTGCGTATTACTCTGTTGCTGAAATTGCGTTTGTGGAATATTTGGATTTTGAAGGGTCACGGAGACTGTGTTTGTTTGATCCTTTAAACTAACGCTGACCATAGTACCTGGATAAAAGACTAAATATTACAAACAATGATTAACAACTCATTGAAACACAAAGTTCCGATGGATTATTATTATTATTATTATTATTATTATTATTATTATTATAATAATTATTATTATTATTACAATAAGACGACCTTTGAAAACATATATGCAAAATTGTTATTCTCAAAGCTTACCGTTGGAATTGTGTGCATTCATACTCATCAACACTGGTTGTCGTGGATTTCCATGCGGTGGTGGTCCATGATGCTGCATGTGATGTAAATGTTGTTGATGGGGGGGCATGGGCAGTATTTGTTGATGTGGATTCCGATGCGGTATTGGATGCTGCGGCTGATGTAAAGGGGCCATACTAGCCTGCTGCATAGGGCGCATTGGTCCTCCCATTCTTTTTAAATGAAATAATAAATCATATATTTTGACAATTACAAGTAAATATTGACAGTTATCTAATGTGATATCAACCTATTGTGATCTCTAAGTTGATTTGGCATTGAATGGTGTTGGTGGCGTAACATCTTGTAAAAATCTACAAAAAATATATAAAATTATTTCTTTGATAAATAACACTAAGAAGACAGACAACACAAACAAAATGACACAATAAATGATGAAGGAAGTTGACATAAAAAAAATAATGTCGAATAATATATGAAATATGAAAATATTAGTAAAGAAATAGATATTAAGCGCACCGTAACCAAATGTCAATGAAAATAAAGATATAATAATAAAATAATATGATAGAAACAATAAATGAAGATTCGGGATAGTTTCTAAAAACCGTTAACCGGTATCTTCCTCATTTCGGTTGATTGTTCTCAAATAAGCACTGATAATCCTATAATAAAATGGACACGAAAACGATGCTCATAAATCACTTGCATTATTGCAATGACGTTAATCTTTTTAAACGCAATTTAATCTATAAATAAGTCAGTCGATAGACGTTGGGCTTGGCCGGGGTTTAACGCACACAAAAGTATACTATACGAAATTTCTTACCAAATATTTATTATACTTCACGATAACAGTTGTTCTTGTATTAACAATGAAATATAGGTCGAAACAGACCGTGTTATTTTATTGAACACTCCCAGGCCCTTTGCACAGCAATTGGCAAACAACAAAGAAAATCAGTCTGCGATTAAAATGCGGCCATCTTAGTAAGAGACTGTCGACCAACGTTTTCTTATTCTTCCTGTTAGAGACCACCCCTCTTTGCTGATTTCTCCAATATCGATACTCTCGTACCACCTCGTATTGCAACATATCGTTCTACACAATCGAATGGTTATTGGACCAAGCGCGCGATTGGTTAATTTTGATTAGTCGTTGCTCGATTGGTCGTTTCTTCGACCATTCACGCGCTAAGTATATCCAATTAAATGGCTTCCTTTATTAGATTTTAACCTATCACGATGCAGCATTGAAAATTTCATTTATTCGCGCTAATAAAACCTAACCTAACGATTACAATTTAGCATATTTTAATAATAAGAAAAACATTATGTCAAAAAATATGTCATTATGACAAAAACTAATATGTCATTTTGTTTGTTTTTTCTTTTTTATTTCTCCTTTTAAGAAAATAAAGAAAAAGATGAATCTTACAAGATGCAATTTATCGATTTCAGTTTTTTGTTTTTTTTTTTTTTTGATTCTTAATAATTTCGAAATTAGTTATGTATTTAATGTTAAACAAATTAAAATCCTCCAATTATCGATACTTTGAATAATACTGTTATTTCTTACAAAGATTCTGTACCATAATAATTTATCGTATTAACTAAAATTATATTTATACAATGAGAATGAAAAAGAAATCAAAGTTTTACAAATGTATAAGAGTTATTTAAATTATACTTATTTAGAAAAATATATAACGTGGTAAATGTTGATATTTTAATAACTATTATATTTTTTGTATTTTTAACATCGTTCTTTCTATTGTGTCATTTAAAAAAAAAAAAGATTTTTATTATTATGGTAAGAACAAACGTCGTAGTCTTCAAATTTTTTTTCTTATTCTATTTTATAAACTTCAACGTGTGTATTTAAAGTTCGTTTTGTTTTAAATAGTACGAAATAGTACAAAACATTTAAAAAGGTCATATTTTGTGTATATATATGCATATACATAGTTAATATTTAAAATAGGAAATCGGTGTAAACATAATCAAGCTTTAATATCCTGTTGTTTATTCCTTTTTTTTTAAGCTTATGTTCACCATCTTTTCTAAAATATAAACGTAAAAATTGGAACGATCCTTTTCATATTTATATTACATATGTATGTATGTATGTATATATCAATATACATATATAATTATTTTACACCGTACTTGAAAACATATGATTTTTAAAATTTTACATATAAAAAACAAAACAATAACAATTGTGTGTTTCAATACATAGATAAACTTTGTAAAAAAACTAAATATGAAAAATAAAATTAACCAATTACGAAAGCAATGTAATAATAGGCACGTCAGCTTATCGAATGCAATAATAATATGGCAGTAATATTTATTGTAATAATATACTTTTTAATATTGCATTCAATTAATTATGCTGTTTGAAGCGTAAACACTTTCATATAGCAAATTTGACAAATGTCATTCTCATATTTTGTTTAAATTTTCATTGCGTGTCCCTGTTACACTGTTTACATCGTTACATTGTTGTAAAATTGTATAAAAAGCATTTGTTTCCAACAGAAAAAGAAAAAGACAGGATTGTTCGTTATTCAAAATATACATCTAGGTAGATTGACAAAATGTTTCTTAGAATTTATGCAATTCGCGTTCGGAATTTTTAAACAAAATATGATTACCTGTTAAACCTTTAAAAGGATCAATCAAAAATACTTTTATATAACTTTGTCAAAAAGAAAATAAAAGAAAATAAAAGAAAAGATATTGTTTGTAAAACATAAAATGAATAATATTAATCTACAAATATTTTCTATAGTTATTCAATAAACGTGTATCTTATAAAATCGCACTTTGTGTTTTATACATTGAATTTTAAAATACTAAATATTTATATTTTGTTAATACCTCCAAATTAATTTAGTTCGGAGCCAATTAAGCGTTTAGCATCATTGTCTTTTTCAGACTCAGCTAGGCCCCGATTATTTATTTACTAACTATTATCTGTGGAATATTTCTATTTCTTAATGGTTCAATAAATTACAATTATTCTATACAGTTTAAAGCTAAATTATTTACAAGTATCAAATCTGTGTACATATATCACATATAATACCCCCAAATCAATTGTCAGATTGATTATCTTATTTGAAATTCTACTTGTTTTTTTTTTCTTTTTTATACAAAAATTTTGTTAACATCAATGATATGTTATATTTCATTTGAATTAGTAGTTTTCTATGGCAGAACGTTCTTTGAAAACTTTGAAAATTCCAATTGAAGTTGACACACAAAATAAGATAATCACTTTGACAATGATTTTTCAATAAACTTACATTATATTTGGTCAAAGTTTTTTTTCTTTTTTCTTTCTATATTATTTCATGTAAACTGTGTGTGATTGTGCTATTATTTCAAATGATTTTTTGTTCACAAACAATTGACATGAGTAAATTTGTCACTAATCGCATTAAAAATGGAAAACTATTAATAGATTAATAAAGTCAATAATTTAATTACATCTCGTAAATAAGCTCGGACATATATAACACGTTTGTCATTAATTTACTAAATTTGCTAATCATCCAAATTTCACATTTATGTATATTTACACACCTTTGCACATAAAGTTAATGTCCAAATTTGTACAGTATTTTAATATATTGTACATGATCAGTTGTTTCTTTTCTTTTACTTAGAAAATTTCTCTCTTATATGAAAAGTCAAAACGTTATGATATATAACATCATTTAATTATTTTGTTAAATATTAATATAAACAATACAGCACAAATTTAAAAAGAATTTTTCTATTCGACTAATGGATCCTTTCATTCGAATGCTTTTGCATTACTCATTGCAAAACGAATCGAATTATAATAAATACATTCTTACTTCAATCTTTAATAACGTCAGGCACTAATCAACCCTTTTATGGAAAATGTTATAATAATACATTCCATTTAATAAATCATCTCTCTCTCTCTCTCTCTCTCTCTCTCTCTCTTGTGTGAGTGTGTGTATCATATACATCGACGACGATTAATTTTACATATATATACATACATACATATATATATATATATAATAAAAATTTAGGTGAAATAGTTCATTTGAACAAAAACATTTCTACTTTTAATGATATTTTTAATTTAGCAAATTACATGACAAAATATGTGTGTACTAATCTTTTTGAATACAAAATATACACCTATGAAATCTCTGTTTTTAACAGAAGATATGTATTACAGAGGAGAAAAGGCATAATAAACAAGAATAATCTCAAATGTTCTTTTTATAAATTTACACAAATTAAATCTCACTTCAACTTTATAACATTAATAATTAATAATAATAATTTATATAACAAAATTTACACAGTTTTTTTTCTTTTTTTCTTATCACTGCGTCACCGTTGTTGTTGTTGTTGTGTTGTTGTTTTATTAATAATATAGAGAATTTTGTAATTAATGATTTTACTTAGAAAAAAAAAAAAAAAAAGAAAAGAAATGATAGATTCAATAATAAATTATAACTTCAATTATGTGATCCATTTTTTTTTCTTAAATTTGATATGGGCTCTAAGGACTGTACAGCTGGTAGAATATCTTTATGTCTTTGATTTATGTCACACTTTTTTTGTTCTTTCTTTCTTTCTTTCTTTCTTTTTTACAATTCTCACAGCATGATAAACAAAGTTTTTGTTTTACTTTGATTATTAAAGTTAGATCACATTTCAAATACCATACAAATAGAAATTTATAATTACTATTTGTATAGTAATTATTAATTGACCCTTAGACGCCGCTACATTTTTTTCTACACCTCAAATCGTCTTGCATGCCTGCATCCAAGACTACAAATTAAAAAGAATTCAATTAGAGGTGCATTTTCAGAGAAAACTGCATACATTGAGAATTGTAAATTGGATTATAAAACATAATTAATATGCCTACTTAACCGCACGTGTTGTTATTTGTGGTATCGTTAATGTTATTAAACATTACATTTGTTTTTTTTTTGCTTTTTTTTTTTTTAAATATAATAATATACTGACAGTGAACAATGTGATGTGCAATATATTATTTAAACTTTAATCATAAAAGAAATCCATTTATAAATTATGTATACTTTTGCTCGTAAATATTTGACAAATCTGCAAATTCCAACTTTAGGAAGAATTTATTGTCATAATATAAATTTTCAAGTATATACAAATATTAACAAAAACAGAAAAATAAATTTTCTACCAACTGAACATTTGTAAAATAAAAAATATTGATTAAACGAGATAAAAAGAAAAAAAAAACAAAAACAAACAAAAAGATATTGTATTTTCTTGGTTTAAACACCTAAGGTGCATTTTATCGATAGAAATTGCATCTACTTATTCAAGCATCTTTCAAATATTTATGTTTGAATATTACTAATAATCTTCTTCTTCTTTTTCTTCTTCTTCTCCTCCTCCTTCTTCTTCTTCTTCTTATTTTCTTATATTTTTGTTTTCATTTGTCAAATAAAAATTCTGCACATTACATGCATTATATATACTCTATTTACGTGCTTATAAGTCACTTTAAAAAGTGTTTCATTGTATTTCTTAAAATAATCCTCTTCTTCTTATAAGAGTCAATTAATGCCTAGCTTATTTTTGTGGCACCATTGTGATTCACCTTGTGATTCACTGTCCAAACATCTTCTTGTATAGTCTTAAGATATTCTTCCAACAATGTAGCTAAATTACGTCTTTTAAAACGTAATGATTCCTTAACAATATCTTTCACAAATGCAAGTCGAATATCCAACGTGCCTTGAACTTGATGTAAATGCGAAAATAATGTTGCATGATCTGAAACAAAAGTAAAAAACAACAATTGAATATATATATATATATATTCGATTCGCGTTTATACAAGTATAAGATAAAAGAGAGAATAAAAATGAACCTACTTGTTCCCCGTCTTCGTACTTCTTTGTAAACGAGTTCCCTGACTGTTAAATTGTGTCTTCTTATATCCTCCAATTCTTTTTTCGTCAAAACCTTTTCTTTTTCTATCTTCAATTCTAATTTCTCTTCAACGTGATTCGTTAACCTTTCTTCAACAGCACTTACAATTTTGTCACTATTTTCGCTGCTGTCATTAGAAGGCAGTCTACTATTAGTTTCCACATTAACAAGATCTATCCTTTCACTTTTAACATCACTTCTTAAGTCAACATTATTAACTACGATTGGTGTTAAAATAGGTGGACTATCCATATGATTATTAACATGTTCTGCTGAAATAGCTTCGAAAATTGGAATTGTTGGCATTTCCGCAAGTCCATTCACTAATTTTTCTTGCGAGCTTGCAGCACACGTTGTTGTACTACTACTACTACTACTACTACTACTCGTTACAACATGGCTTGCATTAATTACATTTGGTGTTGTAGCATTTATTAGTTCGGTATTTGGTACCATCACTTGATTTTTGGTTTCATCCATCCAAGGTATTGGAGAACTTGGAGGTGTATTAGCAGGAGAATATGAAGGTCTTCGTACGATAACGTCTTTTGGAATAGGTCCTGGTTTTCTTTTATTCGGAGACGGCCTTGGAACAGGTGTCCCTCCTCCGTCGGAAGGTGGTAATGAACGTTTTATACCACCTTTCGATGTGGAAGATGTTGCTCCAACCATATCGATATCTGCTTCATCTACCATCATCCTTTTGTCTATTTTAAAAGGATTACCTGCAAATTCAATTTTGCAATTTCAACTTTAGTCATTATTTCAATATAATCTAATTAAAAAGAGATTGCATTTGTTGTATTTACCAAACATGTGTTGTCTGACAGGTACGCTTTCGATCTCTCTTAAAGGCGGTGTCATCCTTTTTAAATACTCTTGATAATTCCCCATCTGAGCTAAAGGCATTGAATGAACATAATCATCATCTAATAACTTGGTATGTAATAATCCAGGTTGCAAAAAATTTGCACGCATTCTCACAACTTGATCCAAAAGTGATTTTCTTGGGACATCGAAAGCATTGCGATAACTCTGTGCACCACGTTGCTGCTGTTGATTCTTTACTAAACCAACAACGAATCCACCAAACTCATTTAATTGATCCCTTAGCCCGGTGAATTTATCTTGCAATAAAGGATGTGATACCTATATAAACAAATGTATCTCATTAATTTATTATTTCGAATGTTTGGAAACATAGAAAATAATGTCTTCAGATGATCTCTTACCAAATCTTTTTTCAACGGTGTTCTGGGAATAACTCTAACACCTTCCGTTATGGTAGTTGTACTAGCGTTAGTTAAATTTTTTGTCATATTAGCAGCTGCAACTTGTTTAGAAATAACTTCATTACATAATCTATCAAATTCTATTTTTGCTTGATTTTTCAAACGTTTTAAATAATTTAAAACACTGTACGATAAGGAATTATCCATGTTATCAGGTATTAAAGTTTGTGCTAGAGGAGCAGGTGCACCCATTCTAGTTAATGCTCTCCTCAACGACTGCAATTACAAAAGTTTAAAATAAATAAGATATCCAAATATTGCGTCTCCTTTATTCAATAAAATTATATATATATAGAGAGAGAGTTAAAAAAGCAAAAAAGCAACTCACCGCAGAATAATAAGTTGGCATAGTTCTCATATAATTCTGAAATTGTGTTCTCCATTCGTTTGTTGGTTTCAGCCTATGTACCTTGAACAATTCTTCCAATAACGGTAACAACACAGGATAATTATAGGGCATAACGAATAAATTTACACAAGTTAAGTTTGTGCTCGCTTTCAAATATCCAAAAGGATGGCCAACCTCGCTGGATTTGTAAGAATTTGCTACAAATACTTGCCAACATATTGTTGGTTGTTTTCTTGCTAATATATACTGCGTTAATGGACTGGGTTCCAATTCATATTTATCAAATGGTAAATTTTCTATGACCATTGGTTCTTGACTGGTACAGGTAAACTTGACATTAGGATGCGCAGATCTTGGTGGCAGTGAACTAGCACTTAAATCTGGCCAAAAACTTTCTGGAATTGGCCAAAAGCCAACGGCAAATCCTTTCTGTGCTGAACGTGGAACGTAAATTAATCTTCTACAAGAATGCCATGCTGTATTTCCTAGTACTGTTGGATTTGTAGAATACTGAGTCCGAGGGCCATTGTTGGTATTATTTTCATCTTCATTCTCGTCTTCATCCTGATGTTGGACCTCGTTTGAAAGGGGAGGAGGATCAGGTCCAATCTTTTCAAAATTTATTACTACGCCAGATTGAACTTTTTGTACTAAAGAATCAATGCATTGCATCATCATTCTAAAAGATGTTATGCAGTACGAACGACCTATGATTTATACACAATTAATTAATCACTTGATAAATATTAATATTAATGAATAATTTATTCATCATACCTCCGGTTACTTCGCACATTGCATCTATCGGAGAGGAATCACTTGCAACTAAACCGGTGTCTCGTTCAACGGCCGGTGTCCCAGATAATCTTAACACCAAAGAAAATAACCTTTGGTCCCATCTAAATGGTTCCTTAGTTAATTCTGATCCAGGTATAGGAGAATGCATTGGTAATGTAAACTTGTAAAAAAAAACAAAATGTGTGATGTGAAAAGATTTTCAACATAACCTTTAAACTTTATCGAATTAATTCAAACTAAATGTCCAATAGATCATTTTGACAAATAACTATACAATATAAAAACACACTATAGCAACTTACATCTTGATGTACTCCACTGTTTGTCGTATATTTTCCACCATCCGTTATAACAACAATTACAGATGGTTCTAAATAAAATGGACATCTCCCTTGACCATAAGTATCGATACCAGTTTGCATTCGATTTATATTCAAAACATCCAAAGCATGTTTTAACGCAGCACCTAAAGTTGTAAGGCCAACACATTGTAAGTTTTTCAATTCATTCATAAACGTGGCCAAATTTTCTTTCCAACCTGCCTAAAAACAAAGAAAATAAACACATACAATTCTATTAGATGTTTATTGAAAATAATTTGTCACAATATATTGATATGTTAATTCAAAACTTCGCGCGCTCGAGTAGTTCTAATGAAGAAACAATAAAAGGAGATGGCGCTGAAGGCGCATCTCAGCATGCGGTACCCATAATGCAGTTCTTCCGCAACGGAAGACGGAAGGTATGTAGGAAAGTGTGTATTATTTCACGTAGTTACTACTTCCCTGCATAAGCTATTCTATTCATTGTTATATCAATATAACTGAAAATGTGAGCAGGATTAAATTTGAAAAAAAAAAAAAAAGGGGGAACCCTCCATGCAACCATAATATTATCGTTAGAGATAATTCGATGATGACAAGAAGAAAAAAATTAAATAAAAAATGTTATATGGAAGCAGCGCTAGTAGTATATAGAGAAGGAATCGGGGATGAAGAAAAGTAGAGGAGAGAGGGAAAGAAAAGAGCAATAGCGCATAGGTGTGAATAACGGCTGGGTGGGGGAGGGAAGGGGAAGGGAAAGGGAAGGTAGAGAAGGAAGAAAAGGAAGAGAAGGAGAGAAAGGGAGAACGAACGCGTTTAAGCAAGGAATACGAGAGATACCTTGATATTCTGGGGCGGATCTTCGAAGGTCAGGAGCATATAACGATCCCCGCGGCTCTCCGGTGATCTTTGTCGTACCTGTAAAAGTATTTTTAATTTAAATGCAAATCAAAATAATAAAAAACAAAATTAATGAGAATTTTATCACGACCGATGTATAATAACACACACACACGCGTTGCTCTTCTTTCTTTCTTTCTTTCTTTCTCTTTCTCTCTCAAACATATCTATACATATACACAGCCCTACACACATATAAAAGATGCGCACACACACAACCTAATGACGGAGATGAGACACTCCATGACAACTTAAAGCCCGGTCAAGAAAAGTTGCTGTCTTATTTGGCGTACCTTCACGAAAGTTTCCACTGCGCTTTTGGCTACATCCAAAAGCGTGGGCCGCCCGCCCAAATAAACCCTCTGATTCATGGAGGCCGATGTGTCGATCAAAAAGACTATTATGGTCATCTTCTTCGCGAGGTGAACCCGCACGTTCTCGAGGTCGTAACTGTGGCTCGAGAGACCTCCCGTAGTTGAAACTAGCTAGCTAAGAGCCCTACAACGGCGTGGCGCATAGCTGCTTCGACCATTGAACGCTTTTGAACACGTTCCGTAAAACTTCTCTTTTATCGTAACGGCGCTCGTTTGTTCTCTCTCTCTCTCTCTCTCTCGCTCTTTCTATCTCTATCTCTCTCTATTTCTCTATCTATCTATCTCTCTCTCTCCCTCTCTCTCTCACTCACTCTCGCGCGCGCTCGCTCCCTCGTACTCTATCTTTCCCCCTCTTTCTCTACTCCCCTCAACGTCTCTCTCTCTCTCTCTCTCTCTCTCTATCTCTCTCGCTCTTTCTACTTTTCTCGCGTTGCGTGTTGTTTTATACGCGGATCCCGATTTTGTTGCTGCTAAAGTAACGCCGTACGAATTTAATTCTTCTAATGATATTATTTTGAAAATATATATATATGCTAACGGTTGAGAAATACGGAATAATAGAAACAGCTGAAATACAAGCACGGATCGCGGTTAGCGAGTTGTGAATCGGACAGGTCTGTCTGCCAGCCTGTCCGCCTGGTCTTGTCTTCCTCATGCTTCCCCCACCATTCCTCTTTCACTATCTTCTATCTCATTCGCTCTTATGCGTCTATATCGTAAATCTCTTCTCTCTCTCCCTCTCTCTCTCACCGTCTCTCTCTCTCTCTCTCTCTCTCATTTTATGTGTATATCCTCTATCTGCTTCTTTCTTGCTCGCAACGTGTTAATACTCACGCGCTCGATTCTATTTACTCCGTTTCATCTGCCGAAAAACTATCTCGTTATTCTCTTTCTCTAACCCCCCTCCCAAACCACTCCTATAGTCAAACCTATATACATATATAAATATATTCTTTTTAAAATTGTTTTTTTTTTGTATTTTAAATAATTGCTGATTAAAATGTATATTATGGCCTAGAAAATGAAGCTTTAAAACTACCAATGAAATCCACCAATGATACTTTGATAATAAAAATATTAACCAATATTAACCGTGTCTAATCGGTGATTGGTCGTTGCACGCATTATTACATGTTGTCACAATTATCTGTAAATGATTATAAACAATAACCTATAAATGCAATCAAGTGAAACTTTTCAAGTTGAAAATTATATATGTATATTCTGACCAATGATTTTTCTTTGTTTTCTTATTATATCATTAACTTTTATACATTTTTTTAATTAATTGATTTTACATTTGCAAACAATTAAAGTATATGCGATTAATATTTAAATAAAAGAATAAAATCAAAAAATTAAGATTTAAGTGCCATCTTACGAATTAAAATACGAACTATTTTAATATATTTTATTCGTTACGATTAATAATGTTTTATATTCTATGGCAAAAATTGGCGCGAATATTTAAACGTATTTAAATATACGTGATACTTTGGTACGAGATAATTTGAAAAATATATAATATATGTACGTATGAACATACGATAAATATTTAAACAATGATTTACAACGATTCCAAGATTTAATATTTAAATAGTTAAGAAAAAAGAGAAATTTAGAATTTATGGAAAAATATATAAATTATAATACGTGTATGAATAATTTTTCTAACGTAAAGTAACAGAAAATTGATATACAATCTTTTGTTTAATTAACAAAATAATAATTAAGTTTAGAAAGGAAGAAAAAAATGATCAGATTAGATAAAATACTAATCTTACTTTTGCACTTTTTAGTATCCATTCCAAATTATTGATCGGAACGTGTTAACTCGCGAGAAGCATGCGCGTATGTAATAGCACGTATTTTTGTAAAGAAGGATGTACTACAAGGAATTATACGTTGTATTTATTAATGTTATTGCAATTTTTCACAATATAAATGGTGAAATTTCTTTAGTAAAAAATGAGGAACATATCAATGCAGGGAATAACGATGACACCTGTTTCAAAAGTTTCGACGTTCACACGAATAAAATTATCAAAACCGAAGATTCACGTGATCTTGGTGCAAAATATTTAAATGAAATGGACGTTGAATCTAGAGAGGAGTGTTTTAAATTTTGTTGTAATACAGATAAATGTGACGTTTTCATCTTTGAAGAGAAAGTAAGTATCAATGTTGAATTAGATATTTTCTATCAGTAGTTTTCTATTTGCTTATTCATTCATTTTGAAGAGTACGATGTAACGATGTAACGATGTAATGAGCATATCAACTTTTAGAAACCAGGAAGTTGTTATTTGTTTGAATGCGGTCCACTTCAAGACTTTAAATGTAAATTTACCACTCATGTTAATTACACGAGTGCTGTACGTACCAATTACAATATTCACAGTCATACTCAATCGGAGGAACAAATTCGACTTTCTCAACACGAGCACGAATTGAAATCATTGAGGTAGATGATTACATTTACATTTACATATTCAAGTTTCATATGTATATTATAATAATTATATCATTTGTATATTCTACATGAAATATTATTCATTTAGAATGGTTGAAACTTTACAGAAAACTTGCCGATACTCCACCAGTCGAATATTCCATTACAGAACATCCTGTAAAAGCAAGCGTTACCGTAATATCGCGTTTAATTTTAACAACACCATCACCTAAGCGAGGTAACATATTTTCTAATATTTCTACAAAATAATCTATTTAATTTTATAAACAAAAATATATATAGGTTGTAGTCACAATCAGTATGAGTGTCGTTCGACTGGAGACTGTATAGCAATATACAATGTTTGCGATGGTATTCCGCAATGTGCTGATGGTTCTGATGAAGCGGCAGACCTTGTATGTCCAACCGAAAAGCCAACTGTCTCAGCTTCAGTAGCCGCCATACAAGGACCATCTCCGCAATTACCTTCTAACGCTATCAATTATCAGCGTATGATTGATCAACACAAAGCTTTCGTACCAATTTATCCTCGTGGTCCAGAAAATAATGTTAAACCATGGGAATTACCAAGTATAACGAATCAAGTATTATCACAACCAGCAAATCGCTTATATCCACAAATGGAAATACCGCAAATGCAAAAGAATTTTGGTTTGCCTGCGTATCAGGGGGATTATCAACCATTATATGAACAAAACAAAGATTCATACATTCCAGCAAATTCTTATCGAGAACAAAATAATTTTAATCCCTATGATCGTAAATATAACATTGAAAATATTTAATGCGATTTAGTAAGAAAATGTGATGGTATTATGTTAATACGATATTTTATTTTTAGCAAACCAACCTCACATTTTTAGTCATAAAGGATCTGGTGTTATTAGAGAACCCGATGTAGATGGGTAATCAAAATCAAATCTTATTCAATTTCATTCATTTGTTTCTACTAATAAACTTCTAATCATTTGGATTTCAGTAATGTTTACGTAGACTTTAAAAATCCATCATCACATTTCTCATCGCCTAATAAAGTAATATGGCAAGAGACTCCGGTTCAACAAGCACCATCGATAATTCCAAAGCTTCCACAAAAATTGGTCAACCATTTAAACGAAGATAGCAAAAATACAGTATCACCACCTTGCGAGGTAAGCTAATATTTTTCATATATAATTGTGTCCATGACACATTTGTATAATATATAATAATATTGTATAATTAATTATTTCAGACTTCCGTACAACACACAGATGATACATTAGTAAAGGAGAGAGAACATGGTAAAGTAGATAAAAAGATACCAGAAGAAACATCGCATATTAAACTAGATAAACATAATATAGACAAATTCAATAATACAAGCAAAATTAACAATTCCAAACAACAACAAAATAATCATGGACATAAGAGTGAGATAACAGGTGTGAACATTTATCAAAGTCAATTATTATATATGAAAAATATTGTGATCAAGTTTGATTTGATTTTTAATTGGATGTACAATTTTTGTAGATCACAAAAGTATTATAGTTTTGGAGAATCATGTAAAGGAACACGAGAAAAGTGCTGTTGTCGCAGAGCATCTTCAACAAATAAATGACCATGACAATTTAAGACCAAGAGGTGCAGTTATTTCTTTAGCACTAGGATTAATAACAACAGCTATTACTGCTGCATTAATAGCTTGCCGATTACGAATAGTAAAAAGACGTGGACATCGTGGACATGGACCTTATGCTCATGACGCTGATTATTTAGTTAATGGAATGTATCTTTAAATTATATATCAAAGCAAGCCTATTAATAGTTTCCTACTAATCATTTTATTAATCATACAACAATTGTTGATACGTTTTCAAATGTCATCAATTTTATTTGATAAATTTGCAATTTCAATAGCGCGTCGTAATTGCAGCAGTCGAAAAATAAATCCTTGTTGTATAAGAAAATTGTGACAAATAAAATATTTTACACTTGTAATTGAATGAAATAATATTTATAAGTGTTTGCTTGAATTCTATTAGTTTATCTTGTGCTTATGAAAAATTGTTATCACTAATTTTATTAGTGAAGAAATATTTAATAAATCATTGTACTGAAATATTATTTTTTTAATGTATTACAAGACAATGTATGATAAATGATACAAAACATTTGCTTTAATTCATTTTTTCTTAAATATTTCTGGATTACATCACTGTTTTATTACCTGAGGCATTTTGTATTTAAAAAAAGCACTAATATAAAAATTATAGGACTGATATTTTTAATAGTTTGCTATTGTTATTGTACAAATGGCATATCATCGATTCTTTTCTTTTCTTCTCTTCTCTTTTTTTTTCATTCCTTTATATCTTTGAAAACATAGGCCAACATGTCTATAGGTGTAATCCATCGTTAATAGAATATTATTTGCAAGCAATGTGCGTTTCTATGCATTACTTTACACAATATTATGTTAATTCCTTAGATTTGAAATCTACATGTCCATTGTAAAAGAGATGTACATACATCGAGCTTACTTCAATATAGAATATTTTATATTAAAGATAAAGATATAATATACTTAGAAAAAGTATTTGTAATGTTCAAATAAGAATACAGTACTTTATATAAACACAGTGTTACGATATCTAAATAATTAGATTCTCATTAGATAATCTCATTATTTTGTATCATCTATTTTTCACGATTCCAACATCCTGGTTTGAAATTGAATATAAGTGCTTATCTCTCAATTTTGATCTATGCAGAGACGTTGAAAATATTTCTTTAAAATACTTTAATATACTCGTTAAAATGTTTAAGACAATCTATCGCATAAAAAACTATATTGCACTTATGTTTCAATAAGATTTACATTATACATTTATTATCGGAGTATCGGACAAGGAATGAACGCGATTAAATCTACGATTTTTAAGGATTACCATTGCTTCTGCAAGATCGGCTCTTTTACTAAAAAAGTCGACTATCGGTGGACCAGTTAATGCAGATGCTAAAAATTGTTCAATAGTTATCGACCAATCGGGATCTGAACAAGACGACGTACTAGATGGATTTCCATTACGATCAGGTGACTAGAAAGATAAATTATTTTCCAAAACAAAATACATATATATATATATATATGTATGTAAGATAATATAAAGAATATGAATCTTACAGTTGCAGAAGATATATGTTGCACAGCAGAAGCAGCTAACAATAAACTATCTTCTGATTCATCTCGACTAATATTTAACTTTTTCCCCACATCGCCTAGTTGCAATAAAAGAGTACCTTGGGAAAGTTTGAATAAGTATGTAACACTTCATTACACAATAATGAAACATTCATTATGCATTAAAAATAGGAATACCTATCGATGCTATACTATGATATGTCTCTTGTTCTTCTAATTGAGCTGGAAACATATCGTACAGGGTTTTCCATAATGCTATGAAGTGAGTTTGAGACATTTTTGGCACCACTTTTAAATCCAGAGGACTATCCCTTGATGCAATCATAGAACGTAAACTATCCATACTCTGTATTTCCCATGACTGATCACCGTGTTGACTGTTCATACTCGTTGATCCTGATAATGTACCAACTGTTGGTTCTTCTGCCACACTGACTGGCATTTCTAAGGAAGCCACACTCTGTTCCATACTATCAAAAAAATCTGTTGCTTCTGCTGCTACTTCAGCTCCATCTAACCAGTATAATCGCTTATACTTCTACTACTACTACTATGTACAACGATATTTCAACAACGATATTTCAACAATCAAAATTAATATTTACCTGAATGAGTAGGCGAGTCAAAATCAGCAGGTGTGAGAAGTGGTGGTAAATGTAGAGTATAAAGAAGTTTCAACCTTTGCGTTTGATCAGCTGTTGCAGTCATTCCAATAGCTTGCACTAATTCTCGGAAATTTAATAAACCATCACGGTTACGATCCATTAACTAAATATAGAAAACATTATTTACATACACTCTCAAAATGTATAATCACATATAATATAGCCGAATAATAGTCTTTAATTGTCGTTAGAGGTTAGGTTTTCTTAGCTATTTACACAACCGTGAATTTTATTATATACAATTTACCTGTAAATAGAGAAACGACAATTAAAAACTATTATCGGCTCCCCACTATGTACACTAGTCCAATTAATCTTCATATTAATTATTTCAATTTTCTTATTATAATATTATTTATCGCTCTTTATCTATCTATCACTCTAGCTGTCACTGCTAGCTGTCACTGATTGATCGATTGATTAATCGATTTATATCGATCTCTGTCTACGTCTCTTCCTAGGAGTGCGCGGCAAATTCAAATGTAATTAATATTATATTATAATAACTTACACGAAATAATCGAGCTGAAAGAGATTCAGCTTGTGTACATTTACCCCATGGCGACAAACCACCAAATAATATTCTAAATAGTTCAAAGTCAATTTTATAAGCTTCATAGGGTGGTTGAGTAGGATCATATCTGTCAGGCTCGGATTTTCGCTGGCTCATTAATTCTTCTCTCACTAATGCCAACAGTTCCTATGTACATTCGAATATATTCTACATGTAATGAAATATTACATTTCATTATATTTATTATTATATACAATAAATATAAAAGTAATACCTGTAACTCCTCCATGGTCATATATTTATCTACAATAACACTTCTAATTACATTTTTTTCTATTCCTTCTTCTAAACTTTGAACTACCTTAAGCCTATGTTTCAGACGAAGCCTTTCGATTCCTCCAATGGTCAAGGAGCCATATCTTACATATGATTCGTGTATTAATGTTTGGACAGATATACTCTAAAAAAAAAAAACATAAAAAATGTTTATACAATTTTTTCATTTTACCTTGATAATAGAAAATAAACTTACTTTATTAGACGTGGCATTATCAACTGGTCTAGGAAAAACGGGACCTTCGTTATTATAAACACCTCCTAAATAGTCTGTTAACAATTGCATAGCTTCTCCATCGTCACGACAATTAAGTAGTTTATCTTGATTCCATTGTAACACTGTTAATGCTATCTAATAGAAGAAGAGATATTTGTTTAGATTTCATTAAAATCAATTCTATTAAATGTAATTAGAAAATATAATTAATAATAAAGTTTACTTGGAATATAACTTTTGCTCCATCATAGAAAAAACAATCCATAATATTTACAGCACTACTTGTTGGCATGACACTTAAAAATATCGTTAAAAACCAAGATAGTGATATGACTTTGATAAGTCCAAGATCTTGTAACCTGGCATGCAGATCTGGTAAATATTCTGCAGCTAATTCTTCTAAGAGGCCTTGATCAACAAGAGCACCAACTACTCGTCGATCGTAATAATCAGGTAGTAAAGATTCACAAACATTACACAGCTGCCAAAAAGCAGATTCTTCTGAACAGTATATTAAAAGAACCGAAGCTACTATGTTCATAGCTTGACAATATCCTGTTGTATAAAAAAAATAAACAAAATCATGATCAAGATTAAATGTAATCAAATACATTATATTGAAGTATATAAATATTACAAATAATAATAATAATAACCAATTTGTGGATTTCTCCATGCATAAGCAGATAATACCCTTCTTAAAGCACTGATACCAGTATCTGATTGAAACGCAGGATGTTCCGGTAAAGATCTATGCAAATCTCTTTCTATTTCTTCATTAGCTTGGCAAGATTTGCCCAATGATTTATCCACCAAAGATTTATAAAGACCCGGATTGGTAGCCATCTCATTTAATGCACCTAATACAAATATGAAAGTTTAATTAATAGAATTCTTATATTAGAAGATGAATAAAAATAATAAAATTACCGGAAAAAGTAAGCCAAACTTCTCCTCTTAAAGATTGTGGAATTCCTTGAATTACAAGCTTTGCCATTTCTACGGTACGATACATGGTAACACCTCGTCCATATTCTGCGAAATGAAGTTCCCATTGTTTTTCTTTAGCTTCTTGTTTTAAAGCTGCTTCAGTACTAAGCGGAGCTTTAAAAAGCGTCATTAATGGAGGTTGAGGTTTCCACGTTCCTACAAACTTTGTATCTTCAGAATTATTTAAACTATTTGTTGAAGTATTTTGCAAACTCAAGCTGCCAACACCTCTGTTCAACAAAACAATGAAATATATATATATAACCAATATTATTTCTAATTGTTAAATGTTATTTTATTTAAACTTACGGATGCATTAATTTTGATTTAGCCAAAAGTTCAGATATCTTCTGAACTAAAAAAACTCTATCTTGAATCTGTGCGAATAAAAATGATGCACGCGTTGTAGTTACCAATATCGATTTCTCTACGGAGGAAGACTGATTTTCTGCAGATTCAACGAGTCGTACTTCTCTCAAAGGTATCACTAAACTTACTAATTTTCTTACCTAAATGAATGATTATATAAATACTTACAAAAATGCATTTCAATTGATATTATTTTGTTTTATATATAATATATATACTTATTTACCCTACTGTCAAATGCTAGATAGTTCTGCGAGAGATATATCTTTCCCCAAACATATCTTTTATTGTACGGAGTCCACAATGTTGCATCAATATTACCATCTAATTTTTCATTTCCTGGTAATCTAAATTGTAACCTGTATGCTTCTGAATGTGCTCGAGCATCAAGATCTCTTTTCAAGAATGATGGTTTCTTAGGTACATTTTTACTAAAATCAAATCAATTTTATCATTAATAAAATACTGATAATTGTATCAAGGTAATATATAAATGATTGAAAATACCTTAATTTATTCAATAGTTCTCTGTCCTCATTGAAACCACTCTTTTCATCAATGAGCCTATGAAAAATTATGCATACACTTGTACCAATTTCACCTATAATGGATGGATAAAAGTGCGAAAAAGTACCTTTTCATGGCGATATTCGTAAGCTGTTCCATTAACGAATATGTCTCCGATTTGTGTAGAAACATAGAAAAGTAATGCTTCAAAAGAAAAAAAAATAACAGATAATCTCTAGCAATGATACATTTATTGCACGAATTAGCTGAATGAATTATTTTGAAGATAACAATAATAACATGTAAAAAGAACTTTATACCTCTTTATTATCACGTGTTACGACATGTATACTATCTGGTATTAATATGGAATTTGTTTTACCCAATTCAATAATATCTGCCCATCTTATAACTAATTTTGTCTCTCTTGCTAGTATATAAGCATAAAAACACATATGATTTACAGACAGATATAGCCATCCTTGTCTAGGTATCCGAGATTTCCAATAGCTATTGATTCCATTAATATTTCATTATTTATTAATAAATTTGTTATTTGATTCATTATATAAGAATAAATACCTGCAAGAATAATAATTGACCAATTTGTCTTCTTTCGGTATGTTAAATAACTGATGAAATTTGAAAGATACTGTTTTAAATACAGCTGGATCTTCTTCTGCAAATAAACATACATTGTTATATTAATAAATAGATTAATTTCTATTTGCATTTAGAAATAATTAAAGATAGATAATACGAAATAATAATTTACCATCAGCAAATTGACAATCTGGAATATTATTAGCGATAATGGATTGAATTTTACAACAAACAAATTCTGTTATATCTTCTTCGGTGTCAAATGATTGAAGTGTATCTATTAAATTCGAATGAAGCCATTCCCAATCTTGTAGAATTTCTTCGTGTGTCAAAGAACATGATATCTCTTGAAGTAAACAAGAACAAATATATTTGTCAGATTTTTACATAATAATATAAAACATTTTAAAACATTGTGTTTTATTTTGAATTTGAATATATTACTTTGTATTATAAAACAACGCATTACAATTATTTTTAATCGTATTGATTTATTGGAATAATATGTCACATATTTATATATACATATATATATATATATACACACGCAGAGTATGTTTATAAAATGAATTACCCCAATAAACTTCAGACGATGGTGTTTGATGCAATATTCTAAATGGTGCTGGTTTAGTATCAAATACACTGTCCAATGTTCCTACTAGTATTGACGTAAGGCCTTTAGTTTTTCCATGACCTTTTCGACGTTGTAAAACAAAATATACCGTTGATTGTTCATTTACCCTGTTAATAAATTTATCGATACATTTTATTATGTAAATGAAGGAAAAAGTAGGAATGTAAAAGTAGTCAAATCGTTTGAAAAATGTGCTCATTTTTGTCCTCTCGAAATGTCAAGTACACACTTTTACTCACCAACACGTCAACTTCTTAAAACAACATCTGTCACGTTATATTAGAAAATAATTTAATAACTTTTCTAAACGATACCGCGTTCGTTTTATTTCAATAAAAGCAATATTGCAAATAATGCATATGGATATAAATATAATGCAATTTTTATTACGCTAGTATGATTCACTTTTGTACACAAACCATTCATATTATATGTACACACATGTGCAATCGTATAGACGTATGTTTAAGAGGTTAATGCATGAAATAGATAAAAGAATAATTACATATTGTAACTTCAATATTGTTTCGTAAACCAAATGAAATAATAAAAGATATGTTCATTTTCAAATATAACATTGTACAAAATGCAAGAAAAATTGCAATATATTAAAAAGAAGAAACAATGAATTTCATTGAAAATACTAAAGATCTATTATCAGTTGTGTTTGACATATATTATAAATAATAATTATGGTCCGTCAAATGTAAAACAAACATCAAAGTTTACCACAAAGCATTAGCAAGTAGAACCTCCTTTGGCTTTACCCACATAGCGACTGTTTATTCATCCAGTATTAATATGGCACTAAGGCCACGATCCTAAATGTCTTTTTGTATATAATCTAAACAAAATTAAAGCAGTCTTTAGAAGCTTATTGTGTAAAAAGATTTGTCTAAAATATAAACAACACCGAGCCACGAACTTTACAAAATTATCATTTTACCACCACCACCACCACCACCACCACCACCACTTACCATCGTCAGCTGCTGACCGATGAATATTTATCTGTGTGTACGGTTACCCGTGTAGGAGATGAATTTATCGATGTAGATGGCGCTACTGTCCAACTACCATCTTTGTTTTTTTATTATTTGAAATTAAACCGCGCGAAAATTTATTAATAGTATACATATAATCATTAAATAATTTTGCATTTAAACAAATTCAAGTACTAATATCAATTATATTGATATATATTGATTTCGATGTATATATCTGTTATTATTCATTACTTTTCCAATTGAAATTTTGTATATAAAATGTATAATATACAAAATAAATCTTTAAATTATGTATTTGTATTATTTCATTTAGTGTAATTATTATTTGATGGTAAATTGAAAATTGATATGATCATTTCGTGAAACTATTCACAAGTATAAATTTATCGATTGATATTCATTAGCATTGTAGCTAAGCAGTTAAAATACTGCACCGGCAATAGGAGTTCATACACACAACATACGCGTCAGTTCGTTCGAGAAAAGAAAATTCACCGAAAAAAACATATTTATTTGTAATAAAAATGTATGAATGTTAAGTGATCGTATAAATCTACTTGTCTACATTTGTGCAATCAACATGGTTTTCTTTCATTGATTATCCACAATAGAGAATTTGTCTAAAACGTGTGATTTTATAATGGAACAAGGTTAGGTTACTTTTTCCGAAATTTTCAACGTAATTGTAATACCTACGATAAAACATAGAACATTTTGAAGAACATTTTGAAGAACATTTTCAAGAGAACAACAAATATTTCTTGAGAATATTTTTGGTCCGGCAAATCTGTAAGAATCATTAAATATGTTCAAAAACACATTTCAAAGTGGCTTCTTATCCATTTTGTATAGTATTGGTAGCAAACCATTACAAATATGGGATAAAAAAGTGAGAAATGGTCATATCAAAAGAATTACAGATAATGACATACAAAGTCTTGTATTAGAAATACTAGGTGGTAATGTGAGTACTACTTATATTACATGTCCTGCGGATTTAAGAAAAACATTAGGAATTAAATTACCATTTTTGGTAATGATAATAAAAAACTTGAAGAAATACTTTACCTTTGAAGTTCAGGTAAAAATACACATTTGATAGAAATAATCGTAACATCTGTTAAGATTCTTCTAACATGCATTATGAAAAATATTTCTTATTTTAGGTTATCGATGATAAAAATGTACGTCGACGATTTCGTGCAAGTAATTATCAATCAACGACTAGAGTAAAACCATTCATATGTACTATGCCAATGAGACTAGATGACGGATGGAATCAAATACAGTTTAATTTAGCAGACTTCACTCGCAGAGCATATGGAACTAATTATGTCGAAACTTTAAGAGTTCAAATTCATGCAAATTGTCGAATACGTAGAGTATATTTCTCCGATAGATTATATTCTGAAGATGAGTTACCAGCAGAATTTAAATTGTTCCTACCGATACAAAATAAAGCTAAATGTTAAACGTATTAGGACTTTTTCACGCTGACCTATTTTGCACAATATTTTCATAATCATACAATATGAACATTTTTTATGATAACTGAAAATAGTAGTATTAATAAACATAATTATTTATAGAATTTTGTTTAAATTTGGTTTCTTTTTGAAAAGCTATATATTTTATACTATATTATCTAATCAATATATACTAAAGTTTCAATTATAAAATCAAATTCTCTCCCTCTCTATACAATATAACACACAATTCTATGAAATAAAAAAATGTACATTCAATTTTATATTAATGATTTAAAATACCTTATTATATCACAGTTTTTTAAGTTGCACGATTTTGATAGAGGACAAGAAAGAATCCTCCTACCTATAACATATAACAATTTCGATGAGAACTTTATTATTTTAGATTTTTCAAATGTAATAAAACTAACAATGTGATATAAAAGGAAGTAAAATGTAATAATAGGAGAGACAAAGAGAAATAATAATAATAATAATAATAATAATAATAAAAGTCTTAAACAATAGGGTAAAAAATAAAAGAATAGAGAAAAGAGTTTATTGGAAAGGGTGGAAGAGGTAAAAGCGATAGGGGAGGAGAAGACGTACGTGGCGCGTGTATTAATTGCTAATTATTAAGTATTGATTTTTTTAAACGGGACATATCCGAGGGGGAGGCTGTTCGTTCGCGAATAACTGGGACTATTTTTCGCGCATAAGAGGGTGGATGTCGGAGGGGAAGGGATAAAGGGGTGAGAGATAAGGGAAGGGGTAAAAAGCACACGAGGGTACTTGTGTTTGGCGTAGGGATACAGATTCCGAAAAATGGCGGGAAAGATTAGAATTCGGCGGAGAAATTTCGAAAATTTGGAGGGAAAATTGTGAAACTCGCGACTTATCATCAAACCTATCGACAAAAAAACGATCCAACGAGATAAATCGTCGAAGGAATAAAACATTTTCTTTCGAGTGAATCGAAAAGGAAAAAAATGTAATAAAAAAAGGATCAAAGTCGCGAAGCAGGTAGAAAATGGCGGATCAATTAAGCAACCGCATCATTAAATTATATTCTTTATTTCCGACGATAGTATAATCTAATGACTAAAGGTGTATATACCTGGACAATGTTGAAAGATAAAAGTAAAGGAGAGATAAAACGAATGGAAAGGGTGGGGGATAGAAAAGGCGTGGAAAAGGGTTGTTTAATTGATGAAAAGAGGAAATGCGAAATGGTTTTGACTTCGAACGCGTGCGTCGCGGCGCGGCGCGGTGCGGCGCGGTACGGCGCGGTGGCGAGAGAAATCCATAAATAAAACAATCGGTTATATACATATGTTTTTCAAATCGACGAATGCTATTATATATTTTGTATCGAGCACTCGTTTCGGAGGTAGACGCCGACGCCCGGCGCCGACGTCGTTTTTAACGCGTCGACGAGCCGCGTGCTGTTAGTAATCTCACCCAATCCGAGAGACTCATAAGTAAAAAATAAAAAAAAAAAAAAAGAAAAATAAGAGGAAAAGGAAAACGGGAAAAGAGAGAAGAAGAAGAAAAAAAAAGAAGGATCGTTAGAATAATCAACTCTCTCTCTCTCTCTCTGTCTCTCTCTCTTTCTCTCTCTCTCTCTGTTTCTCTCTTTTTCTCTATCTCTATCTTTTGATGAGGAGAAAGAAGAAACGCGTTGGCACATCGTAAAGATGCAACGGTGAAAAACGTAACTGGTCCATCGTCTTCCGGGATTGAACGATTAATCGCGTCTACCGAAAAAAAAAGAAACAAAAGGAAGAGAGAGGGAGGGAAAGGGAGAGAGAAAGAGAGAGAAACAAGAGCGAAACATACCGAATAAGATACGAGGGGTGGAATATAAGGGGGTGAGAGAGAAAAAGAGAGATATGTTCGCTTTGCGGTGAGAGCACCACGCTTCGATATCTCGTCGCATCGTGCGGTGAGGGGAAGAGGATCCGTAGTGTCTTCCCCGTTATCATTTTTTTCTTAGTGTCCTCTCTTTATAATTCATCCTATTTTGTTCCTTTTGTTTTGTTCTATTGTTTGTTATTTGATTTGATTTGAAATGGGTACGGCGGGTCGCGATTTCGAACGTCGCGATCGGGAAGACGGATTGCACTGTCGAATTTGTGCGTGCGACGTTAATGGAAACGACAGTGTCAACATTTTCACCGAGGATGGTAGACGGCACTACTTGCAGACCAAAATACGCAAATATCTTTACATCTTGGTAAGTTTTAATAACTTGGGAGAATAATATAATTTAACCGATCTGTGAGACGGTCGAATGCGAACCAAAGACCGCCGGCGGAGTGCGTGTTTTACGTTTTCTGTGTTACCGGGATCTTTTTCAAAATCTCGACCGCTGGACGCGCGCGCGTCTTCCACACACTCACCAAGATAAATGCATACTTGTGTCATCGTCTCTACGATATTCCCACGTGCAACTCGGTACATTTGCGATCGGCAATATTTTTGTCAATGATTCCATCCGAACAGATGAACTTTATTATTATTATTATTTTTCTTTTTTATCCAAATAACAAACAATCAAACCTACTTGTATCGAGAAATTATTTGAAAGAGTATTTGATTTGACGATTTTTTGACTTAGATCGATACTATCGATGTCGATTCATCGGTTCAACTACTCGACGGATCCGACTCCGAGTTAGAATTAAAGATGCGTTTCATCGCCATGATCGTTTATTAATTATCTTTAATTATCAAATAAATAAGCACTACTTTTTTTCCAATTAAATATGATAATCGGTATCGTGATACTCAAATAAAATCGACTGTTTTTCTTTTTGTTCTAAATTATATCGAATTTATTTGAATTTATTTACGATCTAATTTGTAATCATATTTTAGCAAATAACAATTAAAAATGGATAATATTTGGATGTAAATTTTCTTAACGGGAGAACAATTTACATCAATCTTTTGTGAAAAAATGTATACTGTTTAAAATAATATCAATTAACATATATATGTATATTTATAATAATGAGAAATTAATGAAGAAAATATGACTGCTCGTTCAATGAAATTCGTGGCAACCATTTTGTACAGTGCTGCAAAAGTGTTAAAAATTAGCATTTTATTGATTGCCATAAGTATAATGTACTACATGCGCCGTATAAAGCGATGCGTCTATAAATATTTGAGAATAAAGCGGCGGCGGCGGCGGCGTATTCAGATATGACGTCTATGAAATATTTTATGCAGAAAAAATATCAAATGTCGTAATTATTTTGGAATATTTACGAAATTTCCTACAAACAATTTTAAACAAGAAGAAAATACTTAAAACACCAAATTTTAATGATGAATTTAATACAAATATTTAGGAAAACAACAACAATTTTTATACAATTATTATTTTTTTTTTTTTTAAATAATAATTAACAAAATAAATATATTAAACTTATAGATAATTATTATTGCAAGTGAGTTTAGTAATTAAAAAATGTAATAAATATGTGTCAAAGTAAAATATTTTTGTGTACATATGTTAATCAATTCTTACGACACACACAATTTACATGTAAATGTTATTATTTAATATTGCCAAATATATTAACTACTTGATTTTATTTTTCAGGTATCCTCGGAAGATAAATTATCAAAAATGGTTTGTTTAACGTGTATCAAAAGATTGGAAGGAGTACATCGTTTTGCAATGATGGCATATCGTACACAAGAGAGATTAAGGTTGCAATTATACGAAACTTTGGATAATATCAATTCTGTTCAAAATACGGCGGGACAAGGTTTGAAAAATACACAAGAAGCTACTAAAAAAGTAGAAGACAGAGGATTATTGCATTCTATTCTTACAAAAGTAAACATTCAATTTATATTACATATTAATACATTTATTATTTTATTCTATTGTGTAAGAAAAAAGATTTGTTCAATTTTCCAGGGTGCCATAGAAATTTTAGCAGAAGGCGAAACACTTGGACCATCCGAATTATCTCATCTATCCGAAGAAGAAAAAAGTCATACTCCGAGTATGGAAGAAATGGAAGTCAAAGTAGATCCGATGTTATTTTTGCAATGCGGTATGGAACAATCTGCTTCAGATATGTCGGATACATCAGACATAGAAGAAAGTCCAATGAGAATTCATTCTCCTGAATTGTCAAGTGTAACAAACAAGTAAATAATTATTGAAATTATTATACTGTGGTGCACGAACAAATTAATGCATAAAGTTTATCGAAATAAATCCACAAATTTGCAATTACAGAGATACGGAAATAGAAAAGGAAATAACAAGAGAATCTAATGACAATAAATTTAATGAAGAAACAGATGAAGATAATGTAAATACAACTAAACGATACGAATGTACAATATGTACGCGATCCTTCATATCAGAAATTGGTTTACAAAATCATTTATGGTCGCATTTGCCAAGAGAAAGACGTTTGGATGGAAAACCTATTTTAAGATCTCAACAAGTTTATTCGACAAACGGTGTGCTGCATGCGAATGTTGATAACAATTCATCTGCCAATTTTATTTGTCCAATTTGTAGTAAAAAAATTTCTACCAAAGGAAATTTGAAAGTGCATTTAGAAACTCATAGGCCTAAAGGAAAATATGGATGCGATATATGTGGCCGAATGTAAGTTATTCTTAAACTTAACAAACACTTCTCTTTATCACAAATAAGAAATTATTCATTAATTCATTAATATTGATTTGATTTTAGCTTTAAAACACAATCGAATTTATGTAGGCATAAAGAATATCACGGTGAAATTAGATTTCCATGTAACGTTTGCGGAAGAGTTTATCCAACAAATTCAACTCTTCGAGCTCATAGTATAACTCATTCTGATTTAAGACCGCATGCCTGTCCTTTATGTGATAAAACATTCAAAAGGAATCAGGATTTGAAATTTCACATAAATCAACACACTGGTGCAAGGCCTTACCAATGTCCTTATTGTCCGAAAGCATTTGCCAGTTCGGGTAATTGTTTTTCACATCGTAAAAGAATGCATCCTCGAGAAGTACATAGAGATAGACAAAGAGCAGCAGATTTGATGAGATGAGCTGTGAATAATCAAGATGACGAATGAAGTTTTAGCTGAAAACAGTATTTGATAGAAACAATTGTATAAACATTTTTTTTAGCTGTATTATACAGACAACAACAACAAAAAAAGAGCTTTACTTTTGAGATTAACGGTGCTAATCCACAAAGTGATGATGATGATAGTTTTATATGTTTTTATTCTCTTTAATTTTGAGATTAAATATATTGTTGCTGATAATGTTGATAATATACTTTATGACTCACAAAATATGTATTCTTGTTTGATGTAACAGAATATCATAAGTATAAACAATTATCGTTGATAATTATGGAAATACTTGCAATAGTTGTGAGTTGTTCATTTTCATTACTAGTCGCACAAAAAGTAGGTTTGAAATTTCATAGCCAGTAGTAAAAGTTAATGTTCCTTATACAGTTTTTTAAGTACATGAACAGTATTTAAGATAGAAAACATATTTTCATTGAAGTATATTAAAGACATTTTAAAGTAGTAGTATTATAAGTTACGATAACGATGAATTATGTTTTATTTTGATTTGAATATTCACTGCCAAATATATACATATGTATGTATACTTATATATGTTGACTTATTATATAGTATGTTAACTAATTACTACGATAATATGTTGAATATGTATTAAGAACGTAGAAGTAGTAATAATAATAATAATAATAATAATTAATATACAATTTTATCTTTCTAGAGCTGTGATATGTTAATGATTTTTTATACTGGTTATGAAATTGACAACTTATTAGAAAGTAGATAAATACGATATTACTTGAGAGGTATCCAACACAGTTACTGAATTTTTTCGACAGTAATATGTTACAAGGTCTAAAATTAATGATAAATTAATATATCGAATCGTCCTTCACAAACATGTAAAATGTATGTAATTGAAACGAGACATAGCGGTTCTATAGGAACTTTATATATATATATATATTATATATAATGTATAATGACCAAGACGTTTGTGCAAATGACAACATTTTTTGTAGCTTCCGTACATATTTTTAGCACAATGTAAACATTATCATAAATGTTAAGACTGTTTACGAAGAAAAATTTTGTGTCAAATTAGAATATTATAAATAGAATAGAAAGGGGAAAAAGCGAATAATGGCCGTGACTGCAATCTATAACAAATAACAAACGAGTATGATTATAAAATAATGCAGTATTAAAAACAAAACAAAACAAAACCAAACAAACAAGATAAGAAAAGATAAAAGAAGACATAGAGGCTGTAGTAGTTCATATATAACACAACAAACTATCGTAATATTATTCTTGTAAGTGGAATTGTAATTGAAAATGAATGTTAACTGAAGTCTGAGTAGTTTTAGGAAGAACAACAAAAACATAGCATATAAAAAGACTCTCGTAGAGCGTAAACTATACATAGTTTGTGCTTCCATCTTAATACATATTACATACACACACACTTACTTATACGTTATAGAAAATAAATAAAAAAAAAAAAAAGAAATGTTTCTTTACAGTAGATCGGAATAATTATAATAAGCGTTGTACAATAATCGGCACATTATTATCCCATACACATGAACCAAAATATATATGTTGATTATTTATCTACAGAAGCTTATAGTGTGACACATACAATATATATTTTGCGATTATACTTTTTGTGAACGCTTGCCATTCAATAGAATTAGATTAAAATGATAGTTGTAATGAATGAATATACATTAAAAATAATCAATTTTTGAGTAAAATCAATAATCGTTGATTCAACACATTCGGTCGATATTGAAATACATTTAGTCGTTAGAAAATCAAAAATTGAATATTTTTTTAAACTACTATTTGTGCGTTCACATCGACACAGTGATTCATACAAATATACGTATATACAGGTTGCGACAATGACTCTGTCCATTTTTTTAATATCTCCTTTGTTTATAATCGTATTAAAAATTTTCAAAGGAACAAATTTGCTCTATTTGTTTGTTTTTTTTTTTTTTTTTTTTGAAACTGTGACCATTTGCATCAATACTACTGTGACAATGTGGCATATCAACGGGTGATAAGACGTCTATGTATTTCAAAGATACGATGATACTTTTGCATATACTCAAGATAGACAAAGTTATTGTTCGACCCTGTATATATATGTATATATACAGATCATACACAGCGCACGCGTGCGCGACTCGTGTACACACACACACGCACACACACATACACAGAGACAGGATAGATAACATTTCATTAGAAATTAGTGCCATTTCGAAAGTGCCAGTAACACAAGACAATTAATTTAGCGTTATTATACAACAGACAAATACCAAATGATCATTTATAGAATTAAACAATGATTTAAGATTTAACATTATTGATAATACCATCTGTGACACAATAATAAACTGGTTGTATAAAACAAGCGTAACTTTGCATAATTAATTTGATTACCCCATTATTCTGTTATGTTTGAAAATATATTTTATATTGAATTGAGGGAAATTGATAATAATGACAATTATACCTGCTTAATAAATGTTATTGTAATTTCATTTATTTATATTTTTCATTTAAATAATATACATATATATCTTCAATTTTAAAGTAAAATTGTATTATCTCTCTGAAAGACGTTTAACAATCGAGAATTATTTTAACCTTTTAACATCCAATTCATAAAGAAACGTATAGAAGAATATGATTAAGCGTTTGAAATACATCTATTGTAGCTTGTTATCTAATTGCACTCATATTCGATCTTTAACACATATATTTTTTTCATGTGTAAATATGATTTAAAATATTCCTATATATATATATAATAATTAAAAGAAAGAAAAAAAAATGAAAAGATATTAGCCCCCTTATTATAATGCCCATTTTCTTCGTATAAGTTCTTTTATTTGTAAATAACTACAGGTCATCGAACTAGAACGCTCTTTCTATTTTCAATCGGTCGCATACTGGCGACGCGTTTATACCGGTGATTCTACTTACGATCTATTTAACAAAATATACACGAACAACATGAATTTCTACAACATGAATTTTATGCTAATCTGTATGATTTTAACGATTGGACTCTGTTGCAGAAAACTGTAGTTTGTAGTAATGAACTATAATGAAATGACTTAATGACGAAAGATTCCATTTAATTTTAAAACGAATGAAATATCAGTAACAAATTACATAACGAAATTCTTACATAAATGTACAACACAACATGTGAATTCTGATAGTTTTAAAAATGCTGATGTGTAAAATAATTGTGACATATCAATTTAATATTCAAACGTTCCGAAGGTTATATCATTTAAATATAATGTTATTTGCAACCATGGAAATGATTCTAATTACAACGTTTTACTAAATATGTTCACGTGTCTAGTTTTTTAGAGATGATAAATAATTCAAAGCTCGCTTAAAACTATTACAAACCATTACACCATTTTATATTTACATTCCAATTAAAGTATTTAATATAATTCTTTCGAGAATAATCATAAATATTATTACCCGGATAAAGTGTTATCTTCAACAGAATTCTGCAATATATAATTCTTCTTCTTCTCTTCGTATAATAAGATATTTATAAAAATCTTCATAGATACACCACTTGGATACACCATTAATTTTAATTGCATAAGTTATATAAATATTGATAACATATATATATATGAATTTCTTATATTATTAAGACCTTATTAAATTATTAAAAGATTATTATATATCCTTAGAAGATATATTTTTTTAAGATCGTAATGTTATCATCCCTTTTTGATAAATTTTCTACTCTTTTGAAAAATAATCTCGTTCATTTTGGTTGTCCGCCATTATTCGAGTACCAATTAGTGGAAAAAAATGATAGTCGACCTATTTGTATTGTTTTCTTTCTGTAACTTTTCATTTTCCCCTTCGCATGAGGATTTATTTTTATGTGTCAAGGAGAAGGGGAAAAAGAAAGAAAAAAAAAAAGAAAAAAGTCTTGTATAGAACAGGCCAACGTTACACATGCAAGGTCAAAGTTTAAAGCATCATGTTGCCCCTAACGATAGGTGTTTAATCGAAACTACTCATCGCCGATCTCACCGGGTGGTACATGGTTATTATAAACGTGCCATACCACACTTTCGTGTTACTCTAGATATGTAGACTTGGAAAAAGTTTGTCTCGTTTTCTGCGTCATCTAATAAGAACAAACAAGATCAAGAAAGAAAGAGAAAGATATACGGATAGAACCGCAGTATTATTCATCCACTGATCGAAATCTATTTCTCTCATATATATGAGATATCGCAATAAAATACTATTATTTGAGTTCATTATGATTTAGCAATTTAGTATAAGTATTTATCACTATTTGAACATTGATAAATCTTCCACATATGTTCTTTACAATAATCTAAATAGAATAGTAAATATGAGCATTTTTTAAATTGTAATTTTTTGTACATTCCTTATCAATGTAATTATAAGATTTACTATATGAATCATGATATGAAAGCTCAAATATATCTCTTTTTTCTTTTTTATCCTAATGATTAATTAGCGAGATCTAAGATCATTTTAACGTATATCGATATTTTTTGTTCAAAAAAAAAGAAAAAAAAGAAAACAAAGAAAAAGAATCGTTCTTTTGGTCAAAACATTAATATTGTGTTCTAAACAAGGGAGAATGTTAGGCATTAAACCTAAACGTTATGATTGCAAATCGCTCGCTATAATTAGAGATCTTATCTAAGAGACCTATGACGTAATGTTATACGTCTAGAGAATTATTACGACGTACAATTTTATGTCATTTAAGTAAAAATCGCAAATCCAAACATAAATGATATGCATATTATTTAATTGCTGAAATAAACAAGTATTTTGATCATTTATTCATTTGTTTTCATTTTGTAGAAATTTAAATTGTAATAAATGTTCGTTCGATAATCGAATCGAACCACGATATTCGATACAATTAAAATAAATTGTTTGATTTGGTTCCAAAGTTAAATACAACTTAAAAAAAAGTCTTTGAACACTTGGCATTTTATTTCTATATACATGTTATATGTATACGTATGCATATACGTATAAATTATGATCTTTGATCGGACTAATAGATATATAAAGAGAGAAAGAGAGAAAGAGAAAGGCAAAAGAAGCAAAATATACAAATGCATACACACGTATCTCTCCTCGTTTTTTTCTTTACTAATCACTATGAACGATGATCATTCATAAAAACATTTTATGCATTACGAATAAATACGTTTAAATTAACAGTATTTCATTGATCATCACTACGTTGTACAAAAGATCAAAGTTAACTATAAAAATTAATTAAATAGAAAAAATAAAATATAAATTTAAAAAATTATTATAAATTTATTGATATTAATATATAATATTATTATTTTCAAACAAAAAACAAAAAAACGAATTAACCGAAAATTTGTCAAATGATCAAAATAGTGTTAGTTTATATATTTAAATGGTACACAAACTACTTTAATAATTTCATCGTTAAATTAAATGCTAAAAAAAAAAAAAAATAGGACAAAAAAAAACCAAAAGGTTTTCTATTAATATACAATTAGGATGTGTCATACTTATAATAGTTCTTTTTTCAAAAGTTATTATACCAGTTATTGATAAGTTTAATTCCAAACGTAAAGTGTATGTAAAGCAATGGACAATCATGACTTATTTAACAACTGATTCGAGGATTGGCGGAATAACAGGTCATGCATGCATGTATCGTCTGAATGTCCTTCAAACGTTCCTATCGATTCTGAGAGGGTATGCGACCGTATATTACGGCGGATTTCTTTAAGTCATGTCAGTTCGTCAGTAACATCCGTGAACGGCAGGATACTGCCCAAGTGTACACTGTGTAATTACTATTAATAATACTTGTTTATTTTTTTTACAATCATCATCACTTATGCGAAAGAGACAAACAATACAACTATATATATAACAGATATAAATATATATATATACCTATATATATAGAAACGAAATAGTGCATTAGAGAAAGGAAGAAGACATATTTAGATACAAAAGAAAATCTATTACCCAAAATAATGTCACATGACGACTGCAAAGCATGGTGTTACTCACGACAAAATCCTGTCGTTCAACCTCTTTTGACAGGTATTTCAAATTCTAATGTTTCCATCGATAAAAAAACTGTAAATAATTGTTAAAAGCCGGTATTTTCGAGCTAACCTATAAACTTTCTTCTTATGCATCATACCTTCAATTTTATTTATGGCTATTCATCCAAATATGTTGTAACAATGATACTCTTATCAGATTCTTTTTTTATTTAAAATTTTCTTACGTCTGACATCATTTTTATAATCAAACTTCTATGAGAATCGATTAACATATGATTTTTATTGATGCATTGCACATGCAATTTTTCCCTCCTTTTTTCTTCTTTTTTTTCTTTTTTTTTTTTTATGTACATTACTAGACAAAAAAATATAATTAGTAATAATAAATAATATACAATATACATTATTTCATCGCATTTCTCAACTGTTTGTTTTATGGAGTTAATTGATATATGCACTGAATGTTTAATAATTGTTTTAGATTTGTATCAAATTACAATGGCATATGCTTATTGGAAAAGCGGTAAAATCAATGATTATGCTGTGTTTGATTTATTTTTTCGAAAGAATCCTTTCCAAGGAGAATTCACAATTTTTGCTGGTCTCGAGGAATGTATTAAATTTTTGGAGAGGTTTCAATATTCAGACAGTGGTATGAATGCACTAAATTAACATATAACAATATATAATATTTCACAGTATAATTATTTATTATCATGAATTTATGTTGTAGATATCAAATACTTAAAATCAACAATGCCCTCTTCGGTAGATCCAGGTTTTTTTGATTATTTAAAAAATATCAATGTAAATAATGTTACCATTTATGCAATGCAAGAAGGCTCTGTTACTTTTCCAAGGTTATTATTAATTTAAAGAAATGATTTACAAAATTAACAATTTATAACAGAATATATATCATATTTCTTATAATATAATTATGAACAAGAGTTTAGAGATTTAATAAGCAGATATATCTATCAAAGTACCAGATTCAGATACATGTAATTAACCATATGTAGAATCCCATTGCTACGAGTTGAGGGTCCATTAATAACAGTACAACTATTGGAGACAACTTTATTAACATTGGTGAACTATGCAAGTTTGATGGCAACTAATGCAGCAAGGTATCGGATGGTTGCTGGCAAAAATATTACGTTGTTAGAGTATGGTCTACGTAGAGCTCAAGGTCCGGATGGAGGTTTAAGCGCATCTAAATACAGCTATGTTGGTTAGTCGTATTCTTAATGTAATCTTATAATTTAATGCCATTCCAATAAGAAAACAAAATAACAAAATAACAAAATAACAATATCATTATTATATATTACAGGTGGATTTGATGGTACAAGTAATGTGCTAGCTGGAAAGTTATTTAACATTCCAGTTAGTGGAACTCATGCGCATTCATACATTACATCATTTACTAGTATCGATGATTTACAAGCAAAAGTAAATATATATTCAATGATTAGAATATGAATGATCATAAATGTATGCATAAATAAATAATAAAATTGAAATTTTGTAGACGCTTGCTCATAAACAAACGGGAGAAGTTTATGATCTCTTAGAATTAGCTTCAAAATATCGAGATGCTATCGCCGGTGATTTAGGAAGTATAGTTTCCGAAGCTTCTAGTGGAGAATTAGCTGCCTTAATTAGCTATGCCATAGCTTTTCCAGAGAGATTTACAGCTCTTGTAGATACTTACGATACTAAAAGGTACGTACTTTTTTCTTTTAGTCTTATATTTACTTTTCATTCTTTCTGCATTATGTGAATATATTTCTTGATCTTTTTTTTTGACAAGCTTTTTCTTTTTCCTTTTTAATATTGTCCCATAATCATGGGAAATGTCCTGATATCTAATGCTGAATTTCTTTTTTATAATTTTCTCGTTAACGTAGAGATTATTTAATGCGCTGCTAATATTAATTATTACTAATATTTTTCATGATGAAATAAAAAAAAAAGAATATTATTACAGAGAATAAATATGTGTATAAATTAATTGTAAATGTTAGTAATGTACATATTTATAATTTGTAAATAGTCTTATTGTATATAAAATATAAGTATAAATATCTTGAAAATAAATAAGGCAATTTTCTTGGTCTGTCTTGTAATGCTAAGAATCTGCAAGGAATTTTAAAATAAAAAAAGAAAAGAATACGTAAAATAACACGTAGATTATGCAATTGATATGTACATAAAATATATTTTGAAATTCTAATAAGCTCTTATATAATATAGCTCAACAACAAATATATATATATATATATATTTAAAATTCTACTATTATTTTCAATAAACATTTTCTACTCGTTAGAAAATGAATTGATAAACTAAAAGATCTAATAGGTATATATGTACATCGTTATATTTGTTGCTGGCTAAGAAAAATGTGTTTGTAGCATTGAAGCATCAGCCAAACAAAATACATTTATAACAAGCATAAATGTAAAGAATAAGCTTCTAAATAAAGGATCCAGTGCACATACTCAAAATGGTGTGAGAAACAATACGCTTATATCAGAACCCACTTCGCATCACAAGAACGGCTTGTTAAGACGAGGCGAATTGGGTGAGCTCTATGTGAGGTACGATATACTCTCACTTGTCTGCTTTTTCAGATACAACCATTGAATTAAATTGTCATATCAATGAAATATTGAACACATTTAGATATACTTTTCCTTTTTTTTTCTTTTTTTTTTTTTAATAAGGAAGATAATCATTTTCATTAAGTTTAACAAAAATCTTCATTTCTGTAAAGCAGACAAATTGAAAAATAATAACTTTTCATTGCATCCTATTGCTTTCATAATATGGTCATTATGAAATTAAGCTTAACATATTTCAATCAGTATAAAAGCTTTATTTTGTGGGATTCTATTATTACAACTTTGTGATCTTATATAGTGCCCTTCCCAATTCAGCCCCTAATAAAATCTTTCACTTTATGTAAAATAGTGTAATATACGTATATATACGTTTGCATGTGCGACTATCCATATCAATTGTTTTGTTGATCAATTATTTATTTCATATTAATAATATATTTGGTCATAGATATTTTTATATATATATATATATACCTACCTCGTTATTCTTCTATGTACTAGGAGTGGAATTTTAAATTTTTGTGCCGTTGCACTTGCCTTAAATGATGTGGGTTATAAAGCTATTGGCATCCGACTCGATAGCGGTGATTTGGCATATCTTAGTAATGCTGCTAGAGATATCTTTGAAAGACTTGCTATTAAATATAACATACCGTGGTTTGCAAGAATGATAATCGTCGCATCGAATGATATTAATGAAGAAACAATTATAAGTTTGAATGAACAGGTAAAATATGTAATGACAATTTTTCTTTATATATTTGTTTTTTTTTTTGTTTTTTTTTTGTTGTTGTTTATAATGGCTATTTGTAAAGCCAACTTTTTGAGTTTCTATTAATGTTTTCATAGAGTCACAAAATTAACTGTTTTGGAATTGGTACACATCTTGTAACATGCCAAAGACAACCAGCATTAGGTTGTGTATATAAGATGGTTGAAATTAATGGTCAACCAAGAATTAAGCTTAGTCAAGAAGTTGCTAAAATGAATATTCCTGGTAAAAAGAATGCATATAGATTATATGGTGCGGATGGATATGCATTAATTGATATATTGCAAAGATCAACGGAGGAGGAACCCCAAGTAAAACAGAAAGTTCTTTGTAGACATCCATTTCAAGAATCAAAAAGAGCGTATGTTATACCAACGCGTGTAGAGCCATTGCATAAAGTAAATATAATTAACATTAATTATATATTATATTTCAATATTATTGAAGAAACCTGTGTTCTCTTTTTTCTTCTTATATAAAAAGAAAACAAGTGTGAAATGATTTATTTTCCGTTTAAAGGTATATTGGAAAAATGGTAAAGTCTGCGAACCTTTACCAACGTTAACACAAATTAGAGATAGAGTTCAAGAATCTCTTAAGACGTTAAGAAATGATCATAAAAGAAATTTGAATCCTACTCCTTACAAGGTAAAATCTTGAAAAACTTCCATACTAAAATATTACAAACAATCAAATAGTGTATATATAATAATTTACAGGTGGCTGTGAGCGATGATCTATATAATTTTATACACGATTTGTGGTTACAAAATGCACCAATCGGAGAACTATCGTGAAGCTTTAAATGTTTATTGAGTCTTTAATTGTTGAAAAATGAACGATGTTGTCTATGATTCAGAAGTATTATGTCAAAGTCACACAGAAAAAAAAATGAATGATACATTCTAAGACAAATTTTAATAATATTAGAGATATATTTTTTACTTCCACAATTAGAATAATTGTTAATTATATGAAGATGTGAAAAAACAAAAAAAAACCTGCTACTTTGATATAACATGTACAAATTCTTCATATATACATACATTTTTCATTTTTTATTTATATAGTTGTCACAAATAATATTTTAGAAAAATGCCTTGTTACAAATATCGCAACAATCTGTTATTTTACAAATTTATGGACTCTTATAAAAACATTAATACTGTTAATCTGTTTTATTTTTTGAACAATGAAAAGATATATAAATATACACACATCAACTTTATATGAACACAATCTAAATGCGTTTCTTGTAATAAATAATGATTAGTGACGTGCATAAATATATTTATATTGATGTATAGTGAAAAATCAAATGATGTGATATAAATGTACATAATAATTAAAAATTATTAAACTTTTGCTAGTTAAATCGGTTTCAATATTAATTGTATTTTTCACGAAATATTATTTATATTTTCATTCACATTTATCTATAAATCTATTTAAAAGTAAGTTCCCCTATATATCATGAACACTTTGAAATTCTATAATAATATATGCAGTTAATTTATTATAAGATTTTCATAAATATACAGATAATTATCTATTAAAATTCTATTGAAATATTTATAATTTGCGATAAACATGTTAATATATTTAAAGTAACATATCTGTATATTTTTTGTTGTCTGAAACTGTAATCTTTGAAAATAATTAATAAGTAATAATTTATGACTTTAATTTGCATAATATAATGAAATATTTATATTTTTAATAGATTAACAATTTGTTAATAAATTTAGAGAAATTGCGCTTACATTATATATTTTAACTGGTACACATCACAACTTTCTTCGTTTATACTTTCTCCCTTTAAATTATTTTACACTTATTTAAACAATAATACTTCGTTTAAACATTACATAGCTATTTTTCTTCTTTGTTGTTTATTTTTATTCGTAGTTGTAATTCTTACCTAGTGCAGCGCTGCAATCTGTTTCTGTTTGAATGATAATGTAGAACGTGATAAAATGTTCATTATTCGTTAAATCTATAATATACTTAATGTATGGTACAATTTATTCAGTTTATTCGCATATAGGTACGGAAGTAACAGGAATATAATCAAGTTGTGTTGTTTGCTTGTTATTTACGTGTGTGCACAGAAATTTCGCATTGGTTAATCACACATCTGTCAATTGAAAAACTCACTTTTTCAATTAAATATTTAAATAATCAAGATATTAATATTTGGTAATTATTCGTATATATTTGAAAATGTTGTTAATTACATTTATTCTTACATTATAGAACATTTGCAAAGACCGCATGTTGTTTCATGCTTCACTGACATACAGACATGTATAATTACCCGTTAATATTAATATAGAATATTTGTTATTAACAGATGTTTCACTTTTTATATGTATATATATATATATATATATATGTAGTTTTTCGTGTGTATTTGACAAAGTATATATTACTTAATTAACAAATGTATTTATAAATTAATATTTGCATGCATACGTTTTTATATTATGAGATAAGTAAAAAGAGAATTATGTTTTGCAGCAAAACGATGCGTCAATTAAAAGGTAAAACAAAAGAAACAAATAAGCAAAAGAAGGAACGCAAAAAGGAATTTCTTGAAAACAAGCAACGAGTTTTCACAGTCGTTCTACCTACAATAGCTGCAATATTTGTAATGATAGCTGCATATGTTTATGTTAAAACTCGACCTAAAGTAATAGAATATTAATTTACATTACTTTTGTTATATATTATTAAAACTAAAAGTTTGATGACTTTAAAATTGCAAGGAAAGTTCCTCGAATTTTTTTATTCTATATGCAAACTAAAAAAAGAAACAGTTTAAACTGTGATCACTATTAATCTAAAAAGTAAAATGTAAATGAAGATTATGATCTACTGCCTACATTATCAAAACAAATTGGATCATTAATATGTGGTAGCATTGTACATTATATATTATATATATATATAATATTAATACTTATTGTTAGTTAAGAAAAGTTATCAATTTGCTAAAAGTGATGAAATATTAATCAATACAATTATTGAATACTATGAGAGATTTTTTATCGAATATATATGCTGTTTTAAGTATTATAATATTATAATAAGAAAGACGAATATATCAAAATGCTTCTTTTATAAGTGTTTCATATCTTTGTTTTTTCTGATCTGCATTTATATACATATATATATATATATACATACATATATTTAGCACAAAATGGATTGGCCTATAGCATGGTGTACAGATATTATATGTAATATACTAAATGATTGTACATGTGTGTACCATGCTAATAGCTTGTATCAGAATATATCTTGTTGAAGTGTACCATATCTTTATGTGGGAAGCTGCTTAAGATTCAATAAATTGTATTTAATAATTAATCTTACTAATTATCAAATGCAATTTATAAACAATTATTTTGTAAAACATTTAAAAAATAAACATGGGTCCAATATGGTAAAAATATATTTTTAATATTTATAAAACGTATACTCTGCTGTCATACGTATAGTTTTTTGTTTTATCTAGTTTATGTTAAATAAATTATTTATGAAATATGTTAACTTGAACTGAATTTATTGTATGTATGTGTGAAAAATATTAAATTTTAATTATTAATATATTTTTGTTTAAATACTTTTATTTCATTTCAAAATAGAAGCATCGATTATAGTATGTAATATATTATAGTGTGTATATTACTTTATAGAAACATTTAATCGTTTATATTATTTAATTCAATACATATTATATATTTTGATATGCCAAAAAGTATTTTGTATTATATCGAAATTTTGTTATACGTGTTAGTTTACGATACGGGCCAATGAAAAATTGACACGGCATGGAATACAACTATGAGACGATTATCTACACAAGCCAAATAGTCGAAGTTTGATTGGAGGCATTCCGTGGTATTTCTTAGTTTAATAAATTCTTATTTAATTAATTAAAAATGATATTGTCATCAGAGACGATACCATTATTATTATCTTTACTAAGTTTTTTTTTCATAGGATCTACCACAGGTATATATATATATATATACATATTACTACAAGTTAAAATAGAATTAAAAGTTTTAAGGTTATGTTACTATTATATTAATTAGACTATTATTTTGCTAAATGTAAAACATTAAATTGCAGCTAAAGGAACCAAATATGTAACATATGGTTCAGTTATTAAATTAATGAACGTTGATTTCAATGTAAGATTACATTCTCATGACATCAGGTATGGAAGTGGTAGTGGACAACAATCGGTGACAGGTATTGAAGTTAAAGAGGATGGTAATTCGTACTGGCTTGTAAAAGCAGAATATAAAAAACAATATATTCGTGGGTAATTACGTTTTTTTGTTTACCTTATAAAATAAACCTTTGTTTATCTTATAAATAATAAATTAATCAATTTATCTTATGCATTAACCAGGAAGCCAATTAAATGCAATGACATAATTAGATTGGAACATGTAGCAACAAAAAAGAATTTACATTCGCATTTGGTTACTTCTCCATTGAGCGGTAAACAGGAAATATCTGCCTTTGGGGATTTCAGAAGACCAAGCGATAGCGGAGACAATTGGCAAATAGTATGTCAAACTGATTTTTGGGAGAGGAATGATACTGTCATGTTGAAGCATGTTGATACAAATGCGTATGTTTCTAATACTTTATGTTTTTCTTTCTCTTCAAATGTATCCAATTTATATTTGTTTATATATATGTTTTTCAATTTCAGGTATTTATCCATTAGTGGAAGATCGTATACCCATCTTGTTGGTCAAATGGAAGTGATCGGTGATTATTCTTATAATAGTCAACATTTACAATGGAAAACTATGGAAGGCTTATTCGTACATCCAGCTGATTTTAAAGCACATCATTTCGAACACACAGAATTATAAATATTCATCTTGTAGAAATAATTGTTTCAAGTAAGTAAAGAAATCTATTTATTATGTCAATTTATGATGTGAAATACTTCTAGAATAAGCGACAGATACTACTCATTGTCTTGCGCATAGATTTATTACAAAACAAATGGAAAAAAAAAAAGAAATAAATATTAGGAAAATATCTCAAATGTATTTATAAATGTATCTTAAAGTTTCAATAGTAACTTTAGTATAGTTAATTTAAAAATTTAAGATAGAGGAAAAAACCAAATATTATCTATTTTATATTTTCTTATATATATCTGTAGGTTTTAAGTTAATTAGTTATATGCTCAATGTGAAATATATTGTTTGTTTTATTTGCGCTAATGAAAAGCAATACCCTGCCAATTCTAAATATTTATTGGAAATATTTTCTATCCTAATTAATATAATTTCCATTGTCATTTCTTAACGTATCTTAAACGTAGCATAAAAGATTATATAAATCAATTGAATGACTGTATAGTGTTTCCTTTCATTATTATTAATATAAAAAATAAAAACTCTTAGTGAATATGCAATAGTATAAATGTGTGTTAATTGAAATAATTGTTTTAGCAAAGTTTATGCAAAAATGAACTGTTATTTTAAAGAAATTATTATTTTTCTAAGAAATCATTTTTATTTTCACACACAGACGTAGTATCAATTTTATCTGATATAATATCTTGTTTCCATATATACTCCATTGCATATTTTTCATTAGGAACACAAGATTTTGTGCAAGTAAATATAACAAGTATACCCCAATCTAGAGAATTAATAACATCTTTGTAATTAAAGAAATTCAACAATTGGGGCATTATCTGAAAAGAAATGGAAGAAATGATTTATCAATAAGTATTATATGAAATAATCATCTTTGGAAGATTTTCGAATGACATACTTGAAATTCAAATTGTCTTTCACCACCACATAATGAACATTTAGGAACATCTTGAATGTTTGTATTACCAGAAATATACAAAATTTGTCCATTTCTTTCATACCTACAATTTACAGAAACGTTATTCATTCATTATTAATAAAAATGACAAATATATTTAAATGAAATATTTGATATCGAAATATACATAGGTCTACCTTACAACTTGTTCTGGATTGTGAACAATTCTTGAATGGAATCGAGCAAATACTTCATCTTCATCAGCGTTGGCCATTTTTACTAAATCTTCCTCATCTTTACCTTCTTGGATGGATCCTGTTTCGTTACGTTGTACCATGGATTTGTATTTTGCCATTTCTTTTTCTTCTACTTCATTACAATCGTCATCATCTTCATTTATATTTTCTTCAGATTCTATTACCAGTTCATATTCAGGAAATAGAAAACTATTACTTATATTAACATTATTGCCACAATTCTGTTTATGGCCATGTTTCCAATCATAGATTTGATGATTACGGCTACAATAATTAGCAGCTTTGCATTTTGAACAATGATTCGGTGCTGAGATGCCACAAACGCAACAAGTTTTGCACCAAGAATCTGTATCTAGAAACAGTTACGTATAAATAATAATCCTTTTAGAATATAAATACATTTGTGAACAATTATTTCTATACATACTGATATCCGTTCTCCAGTCTTCTTTTTCTATAGGTGGTTCTGAAGGATAAAAAGGATTGAATCTATTTAACTGAGAGCGCAGAACCTTTAAATTTCCATTTTCGTTTGTTTTACAACAACTTGGATCCTTACATATAAATACATACAACGTTCTATGAAATGCATCATCATCTTCCTCGTATGGAGCATAAATTTGACACAAAAAAATGCACGGATTTTTGCAATAATCACATTCAAGATCTTCCTTGTTGGGTATATTTTTTAAATCTAACCATGCTGGTCTACCACCTACTTTACTTGGAAAAAATCTACTTTCCAATTGCCAGGGCTCACATTTTTCAACGAAACCTAAATCGACTGGCATTTTGTACACGTGCAATTTTACACGTTTTTCAATGAAATTACTATTCAAGACTATTCAAGAAGACGAATTTAAAAGGCATAAAATAAATGTAAATGTTAGGTTAGATTAGTGTGCCGAACGGCGTGCCCTCTCTGGGTGAAAATTATAACCTTTAATAAATCCGATCAGTCGGTTAAATAGATTTCGATCAGACCGATTGAGTTTTTTTTCTTGATTGCAGTAATTTAAATTGTGCTAAATTGGGTTTCATAATAATCTAATAATTAAATTCATTTTGAAAACGAATATATGTCATATTTATAATTTCGAATTAGATTAAATGTTTTCATATACAAAATGTAAAAAATAATACGCGGTCAATACATTTAATGTCATTTGTAATCGGTGATAGCGATGAAATTTGAGTTTCACGCGAGCCGAGTTATCCCGAAAGTGCACGAATTCATACGAATGCCGGCTGATCGGTACTTGGTTATTTTTACCGCGTACACGTAGGAGCGTACACGCGAGAAAGAGTCTCCTTTGAATCGGTTTCTTGAATCATCAATAATTCTTCGTACGATCACAGTGATACTCATATAAAAAAAAGTGTGCTAAGTGTAATAATTCATCAATTTAACGATTTTTCTAAATCTTTACAATCTTTTTTTGTTGTTCACTTTTCGAAGATTTTGTTTCCTCTTTAAAAAAAAACATAAACCAACAATAAGAAGAAAATATATCGAAAGTAACTTCGAGTATTTAAATTACGCGGGTATATTTAAAACGGGAATGTAGATCAATATGCGATATAATACATCCCCCTACGAGAGGAATTTTTAAACAAAACATTCTATTTTAATCGCACGTGTTCGTCAACACAGTTTATTGTTAGATTTCATTGAAACAAAAGACGAAATGACGTTGTCATCATTGTGTGCGTTCATCGATACTCTCGTTAAGGAATACCGCGAATTTTCAAAAAAGGACACGCATCGTTATAATCTATACGATTATATTGATTGAAAATTGGATTAAACGGATCAAGACAAAGAGGATACCAAAAGAGAGAGAGAGAGAGGCAGAGAGAGAGAGAGAGAGAGAGATAGAAGGGGAGGGTTGAGAGGAGGAAGAGAGACAGAGAGACCGATCATATGGTCTAATTTTAATGCGAGTTGTTTTACCTTAGTGACCTAAAAATATCAGTGAAATTCGATTAGCCTAGAGCCTGCCTTCTTCTCTTCCTCTGCTTGTGGCATGTGAAGACTATCTAGCTAAGTATTTTTAGGAAAAACTCTTCCAACATTTTCTCGTAGGGAACACATTTTATTCTGGATATACACACTATATACACACTATATACACACTCTATACACACTATATATATATACATATATATTAGTTTGGCTCCGATCATTTTACTTTTAGAGCCAACATCATAATATACTTCTATTAAATGATTTTCAATGAGAATATTATTTTGTACGAAATGTATCGATCGATTAATTGTTCAATCATTTACGAATCAATTCGTCAATTATTTCTATGTTTAAGTAATGAAATAACGAATTTTATGGGATAACATAAATAAAGTAAAGTGTAAAACGATTAAAATAGAATGTTACGCGCGTTCATATTTAGAAATCATTTGAATGACTTATGAAACGCGTAGAAGAAAGTAATGGGAAGTAGGGTAGAATCAAATTTGAATATAATAAACGAAAGATCAGTTAAGACGCGAGTGTCATCGTCATCGTCGTCATCGTCGTCGTCGTCGTCGTCGTCGTCGCCGTCGTTGTCATCGTCGTTACCCTCGTCGTCATCATCGTTGTCATCTTCTTCATCATCATCATCATCATCTTCATCTTTATCGTTGGAAGATAAAACTGTTCGTGACGATTTAATGGAAAGAAAAGGTGTACCAACAAAGGTGAAGAAAGAAGAGGCTGACGAAGAGATAAGGGTACATATTTCATTAACAATTTGATATTTTATTATTTAGAATACGTTAGTTTAGTGATCATGTCTTTTCTTTCCTTACACTGATTACGAGTTTCAGGTAATACTAGAAAGCATACTATACGTATTATTGCATGGGGTGCATGTTTATTACCTGCTTGTTCAAATTAACGATAGAAGAAATAAAAGATCAATGCAATAGGAAATGAAATGAAGAGGAACATGGTTGTGTTTTTTAGTCAGGACAATTACAAATGAAACTATCTAGAGTCAAGGAGAAAAAATAAGAATTTTTGGAAAAAGATTGTGCTTAGGAAGGAGGAAGGAAGGAAGAAGAAGAATGGTGGTAATATGTCGCTTTCATGGTTTCAAGCATCACGTTATCGAGTAGAGTATAATGTCTCCTCGCGATACCTGTTCGTACAAAGATGAAACGGGGTATACATGGGAGAGAAGCAACGAGTTTCATGTTACTCTCCTTCGCCTGATTTATTCGAAATCATAATAGGTTGCAATACGACACCCACGGATCGGCTCTCATCATTATACCTTTCGCCTTGCGCGTATTCACCTGGTTGCAATGAATTTCTGCGTGAGATCGTTCTTGGAAAAGTATCGAAACGATATACCCGATACACACAACACACCGATACATCAAATGATGGATGAGAGAGAGAGAGAGAGAGAGAGAAAGATATAACTTTTGGTGCCTGGCCTCGAATTTTCGACGATATCGACAAGATATACTGTTACACTTAAATGTGTTTGAATTTTATTTCGAACATGCGTAGGCCACGCGCGCATTATATACACAGTAAATCTATATATAATTAATTTGAATTCGCTTGGAAATTGCGAAATCCAACGTTCGGTTGAAATCATTAACTACTATCGATCTTTGTACTCTTAGTTAGTTAATACGTATCAAAATAATTATAATAGAATTGTAAAAATTGCAACACCTTTTTCTTGCATCGAAAAATATCTTTGTAATTTGAAGACAACTTATGATTTTAAAGTTAAGAATTGTATATCGATTTGACATTGAAAAGTTAACCAACGATACTTATATACTGTATATAAGTGATGTATAATATATACGGATTATATCGATTGAGTTTTTTGGCACGACCGAATCAAAGAGCCGCATTAAATGAGGAAGAAAAAGATAAAAGAAGAAAGGGAAGAGTAAAACGTAGAAAACGTAGAAAAAGTAGAAAAAGTAGAAAAAGAAAAAAGTAAGAGGAATCGTTAGACCGGATCGCGTGTCGAGGTGAAATAAGTAGACCTGGGGGTTTTACTTGGAAGCTTTTGGGACGGGGACGAGACTAATGCCAGCAGATAGAAGAAGAAAATAGTAGAGTTAATCGATGTTTGTTAATCCGTGGCAAACGACCGTACGCGGCCGGATACACACAGATATATATCTATATCGATATAGGTACACTATGCCGATTGTGTTCGCGTGCACTGGGAAAGCGCACCTGCGTGCCAGACAGCGCGAGTACCATCATCCTCCTAATACAAACCTGATAATCATGAGCTTCCTATCCTCCTTTCTACGATTCGCGGTCGGTCTCTCGATCAATCGTTTCGCTATATCAGTATTGCAATATAATCCAACGACTACGTATATATATATATATATATACATGTATAGGTATATTAGGTATATCAGGTTTATCAATGCATCTAATAACGTATCTAAATGTAATTATTATATTATGTATAAATAAATTGTATTGCAATATATTCCAAACGACTATAGATGTAGGTATTAGAAAAATAATATTGAAATAGTGTAGTTTAACGCAATTCGTCTTTCGTTCGTTGTCTCGTTCGTCGAACCTCAACTGTAAAGGTTGAAGATTTATCGTAGCATATTACCTTCGCTCGAGCGTACGATATACCAGCATAAGAAGTATACGATGCATGGTGTAACTGAAACGAGTCGACTAATGGATTGATCCGCACGCCACGTGATATCCTCGATTTCGTATACCATATATGAACACAGATATACGTACGTACATACATCGGGGAGTACATATGCGTACTGGTTATATTTATACCCCTCACTGGTGGTACATGCATGTAGATGGACCACACGTATACATGCAGGAACCTCGGAGTATCACGTTTTGCTTCTCCGCGAAGCAATGCTCGCGAGTACAAGCCCTCCCATCCTCACCCCCTTCCCACACCGCTTTTTGGCAAGATAAATAAATCAATTTCATTCGATTCGACTGTTTTTTTTTTTTTTTTTTTTTTTTTATTTTGTTTCAAACCAAAGGATCGGATCCTTAACGAGAATACTTTTCTCCAAAGCTTTGTTTGTTTTGTTTTGTTTTGTTTTTGTTTTCCTTAACGAGGCGAATATTTAAATGAAACTAATTTGTTCGAAAAATAATCCTCGTTTATCGTGGATTTCATTATTTATTTGATTTTATAAATAGCAAACTGACTAATGAAATAAAGAAAATAATTAGTTGATTTGTATTATTCAATGTTGGTTGCAGGAATATGCAGCAACGGCGATGAGTGAATTATTGGGATGGTACGGTTATGAGAAAGTTGATAGCGGTTACACGAGAGGTTTAAATCTCGATCATTTTGCACCGGTTGCAACTACGAAACATCCCTTGCCTCAAATGGATCGACAATTTTTATTCGATGGAAGTTCGAGATCACCGATGCCCACGAATCATCATCAATCTGCTTTTTCTCATTCGTTACGAACTAAATTAACACCTTCCTATTATTCTAACGATATTTTTAAGAATAACGATAAAATGTCATCAAGTCCATCGTTACAAATCAAAACTGTTTTACCATCTACCTCAAGATTACCTTATCACAATGATTCAACTTCGAGTAGCCCAGGTGAACTAAAGTTAAACTTGTAATTGTTAAATAAATCACTTGTATCTACATGGGGGTGGTGGTTCAATTATGTTTATTGCCACGTTACAGATGAAATGACGGAAATCGGACACAGATTGATATCCTGTTCTTGGTGCGGACGAATCGGTGAAACTTGGGAACCGGGAAGAACGAATCCACTTTCTTGCGGAATGGTCAGTGCTTTGGGACAATTTTGTAGCGAAGCTTGTTTCGCTGCCGGCCGAAGAGCAGCTTTTAAAAGAGCACGTACGTGCGATTGGTGCAGACACGTTAGAAATCCTATCAGTTACGTCGATTTTCAGGTCCACAAATTTATTTTATTTATATTATAAATCGTATTTATTTGACCCGATGAAAAGGAACCAAAAAAAAAAAAACAAAAACAAAAACAAAAGATCATTCACTTTATTAATTGGATTAAAATTAATTTGTTTGTTTGTTTGTTTGATTTAACAGGATGGCGAAAGTCAGCTTCAATTTTGTAGCGACAAGTGTTTGAATCAATACAAGATGAATATATTTTGTCGAGAAACGGAAACTCATCTAGCCCTTCATGGATTAACAACTATTCCACCTAGCGATTCTGGAAAGGGTGGTGCATTGATCACTCCGGAACTTTGGCTTCGGAACTGTCAATCGCCTCGTAGTTCGACGGAAGAAATTTTAATCGTCGACGACGAGTCGATCAGCAGGCTCTCGCCTTTATCGCAAAACGCTGACATTGATCGTAAAGAATCGATAGATTTAGCCAAATCGGACAACTTGTCACTTAAGATAATAAGAAGAAATTCATTTAACGCTACGTCGAGATCGAGAACGACGACTACGACAACTACGACGACGCCAACTACGACACCGACAACGACGCCGACGACGACGACGACGACGACGATGACGACGACGATGAGGAATGACAGTGAAAATATTAAAGAATCTTTCAAAGATCGTGAATACGAAAAGTATTATCATTGTAGAATTCCTTATTCGGATTCGAATCTTTTAAATTTGAGCCAATCGAGATCACCTTCAGTTGATCATGCCAAACAACATATGATAGGAAACATGATGGACAGTGGTGAATTACACGATAGGCATAAAATATATAAATCTACAATAGAAGATAAAGGTGATGTACACTTGAAGGATATTAAAGGATTACGAGGAAGGGAATCGAGAAATTGGGATAACGTTCGATACTCACAGCAAAGGAAATTACGAAAATCTTCCTCTTGGATTCCAGAAACGTCTTCGTCACCGATACAATCGGAAACAATACCCTCGCCCCCCGAATCTTGTACCGACGAATCAAGACAACATAAATATAACTCGGATTTAAAAATCTATCCGGAACTTGCGGAATCGGTTAATCCCATTCAGTCACAATTCTCGTCACAATTCTCGTCACAATTCTCGTCACAATTCTCATCACAAACCTCATCCTCGTCGTCGTTGTTACCACCCGTAACGATACTCGTACCTTATCCAATACCAATACCAATTCCAATTCCAGTTCCTATACCGATACCTCTTCCCACTTCGGTTTTTGCCAAATTTCTTCCGGATAAAGATACGTCCTTGAACAATACGGATTCCGACAGGAAAAGTTCTACCTCGGACAATTTAACTGATAGTGTTATATCTACGACCGATCATACTACTTCGGTAAAAACTCAATCACCGGTTACCCCAAGTACGGACAAGTGTCATTTCAACGTGATTTCTTCATCCAATAGCGACAGTGAACATACTAACGCGTTATTGAAGAAAAACAATCTTTCCAAATGTTCAACGAGATCGTTGAGAAAGAAGAAACGTGTTGTTAACGAGGATACAGAAAGTACAGATCGTCAGCCAAAGAGAAGAAGTAAATTTCTAATCACATAGGAACTTATTTCTCAAGTGTTCTAGACATTTTTATATCGTTTAGATTCAATTTGTCATTAAAAGTAACTATTTTCAAGATGATTCTTGATATTGATCAACTTGTTGTTCTCCTTCTTTTTTTCCGAGATTATTTAGATAAAAAAAAACAAATTATAATTCAGTGGTAGGAATGAAATGGTTTCTTCTTGATTTCCAATTGCTCAATATCGATAAGACGTAGTTTAATTTCGAACTCCATTCCATCATATCGTGGATGGTATCGCAGGATAGCAAGTGTCTGCCGGAGAAAATAATAAAATAATAATATAATAATATTTGTTGAATTAGTTTTAAGAGAACAAAGCGTAAAAATGTATGTTGTTTATGTTGAAGCTTACCTTACGACAGTATAACTGCATTGACATTCGAGAAACATGGTATTTTCATCGCGAGATACCCTTTCTCTTATGGTTTTAAACATAAGCGTTCGTGGTCTGGCACAAATGGTTCTATCAACGACTTGTACCTCGTTAGTCGTACAACATGTCAAATCGATGATCAACAACGGTGGTCTTAAATCGTGTTCTTGTGGATAATTCCAAAATTTCATGCAACTACCATCGAGAACGCACCATCGTCGATTCCAAACGGCCAATCCACCAGCTTCGTCGCCGTGCGTCAAGAAACCAGAATGGATAAGCGATATTTTTATTTTCTTTGACAATTTGAAATTAATTTTACCTTGCAAAATCGAATTCGATGGTACCTGAGGTATAAACGATAATTATAATACATTCGAGATGTTAGAAGTTAATGTTAATTTATTGAAACGTTAAATAATTAATAAACTAATTACCGATAATAAATACCAAGGTGGAGCTTTGTGTAGATCTTGAAGGGTTAATTGTACGTATCCGGTTAATTGAAATGACGTTTCTCTGATACTATTGGAACATGATATTTCATTTTGTTTCAATCTTGATTTATCCAATTTTTTCCATAAATTGGTAGGCGAGGGACACGTAATGCTGTCGTTACACGATTGATGATCTCCGTTTTCATTGAAATTCATATGTCTTAATTGCAAACTGTAAACATCTACGACTATGACAAAATGAGGACTTAGATTTGGTACGGTTATTGATTCAGGAAAACGAATGGTAATTGGACTATCGAATGAATAATTTATAGCAGTGGTTGCCCAAACCGTTGATTCATGGGTCACCGTAACCATAAACCATCCACACGTATCAGGTGTTAAACCCGACAAATCAATTTTATCTTTATTAACGGTCAAACTAATTTGTGAGATGGTAACCTTGCCATGTTCGTATAGGGAAACAGTACCATCCTGGTATTCGTCGATTCGTTTAATTTCATTCAATACGGCTTTCTTCTTAAGCATCGATAATAACAATAATCTTTCGGATTCAACGTGTTGTACACTATATTGAAACATTTTCGTGAAATTACAAAAGTTCAAAGCTTTGCTAGCTTGATGTATCAACGTTTGTTGTATCTCCAATCTTTGTAAAAGTTCTTGTATTTTATCTTTGTGTTTTATAACCGAATCACCAATTATTCTTCCTTCCATGTTCGAGCGTGACTGAGATGATCCCTATTTAAAAAGAAACAAAATGTCACACACATTTGTACGGTACGAATGTTTACCTGTTTACTATAGAATACCTTTTTATTAATTTCTTGCGAAAAAGATCTGAGCAATTTGGTTTTTTTATTGATTTTTCTTGGTGGTGGTGGTTCGCTTGACAACAATCTTTCATTAACCGTCTCCTCATTCGTAGGAGTTGTCTTTGATTTATCGATGTTTTTATGATTTCCGTTGTCTTCGTAAGAATTAGTTAAATTATAAGTTTTGTTACAAGTTGAATGAAAGATGTAAGAAGTAGTGTTGTTAGGTAAATCGTTGTTAAGCGCATTGTCGAGAAATTTGTGCATCTCCAATGGTAAAATACTTTCAGTCATTTCCGAACTACCGTAAGAATATTTGTCTACGCTTTTCTCACCAAATTCCGATTTAGACGAATAAATAGGAAGTATAGTTGAAATCGAACTTGGTATTGAAAATGGTGATTCAGGTTTTTTCGTTGAATCCGCGGCTAATGATTTCATCGTAGATTCTAAATTTGGTTTCATTCGTTTAGGTTTTTCTATGTTTTTTTTCTTATTTTTATTAACGTTCTCGATATTGGCATAAAGGGAAGAAAACGTTTCTTCGTATCGCATAGCTTCGTCTAATTTATTAGCAATATGATTTTTTCTATTTGGTGAACAACAATCTTCCATTTCTTTGGAAATATGTTGGAAAATTTGGTGTACACCTGGCATTGAATTGGTCAATCTTTTTTTCCAAAATTCCTTCGAATGACTTGCTAATGATGAACAATTGTATCGAAAATCAACAGACTTTTGTTTTGGCGTATCCATTAAATATGATTTACATTCCAACGATTCAAGATCTTCTCGGAGATCTTGAATTTCTTCGTTCAAACGAGTATAAAGTGTTGTAGATTTTTCTATAACTTCATCAACGTTCTTCAATTGTTCATTAATTGGGATTTTCATTTTTTCTGATAAATCTTCGCCACTCAACGTTCCATCTATTTTAAGATTCCAATTGCGACATTTTTTGCTAATAATATCGTTCTTCAATTCTTTTAGGAAAGTTTCGTTTTCCAAAAGTTTACTGGGTGTTATTACGTCATTTTCATACATTTCCGTTTTGACAAGGATTTCTTTGTTTAAACAATTCAATGCTGTGTCGGACAATTTGATACATGTGCTTCCAAAATCTGCTTGCATAAAACAAAGTTGTGATTAATTGAATAATTAGCTTATAGACAAAAAAAAAAACCTTGAAATACCTTTAAATCGGTAGACACTTATGGCACGCAAAATGTTCATTTTTTGTCTCAATTCGTATGAGTTTTTATTTTTAACAGTGGCACGATATTTTAAACGCTGAAAAATAAGAAACAATTGCTTTTGTGTTTCTAATGATTTTGTATTATTTGAGAATCAACTTACTCGAGTGAATGAATCATCCTCGCTATTTTCTTGATTGCACGGAACCATATTGCTGTAAGAACAAATTTATTATTATTTTTGTAAATAACCTAATTCGATATTTTATAATAATATGAATTTTGTTTTTTTTTAACAAGGATTACAAATACAAACATCCAATTTGTGGTTCGTTCTCGTCTTATTGACGATTCTTGTCAACGGTATTATTGTCCTACGTGACATTTAAACACTTGTTATTATTATCGTACAAAATTAAATTAATCATTTTTCGTCAAAGATTTTCTCAAAATTTCGAATATTTTTTTAGATTTATTTAATTTAAACGTGATTGTTTTAGCGCAATTGTTACCTTTCTTTTTGATTTCCGGTCAAAAGAGATTCCAAATGATTTCAAATGATTTTAAATGGTTGCAAACACGTTGAACTTTTGAACAAATTAACGTTTCAATTTGTTCTTTTTTATTATAGTTAAAATGATTTATTATTCTTTCGGTTAAATGTCAACGTATTTAATCGCAACGTATTAAATAGCATTCAAACGAATACCTTGATAAAAAAACCGTAAAATATTAATATTCGTAGAGTTAGTCGTCACTATAGTAATGAAAAAGGTGTGTACAGTTGAACCTGGGATAAGTTTCACTAATGATAAGAGAACGATGCCATCTTATAAGATAATAAGATATTACAATAACATACCTAGTATTTCAATAACTCTATATTATACATCAGAAATAAAGATATTTTTCAAACTATCTTTATTCAAAGATTACTCTCGTTACGATATTGTTTTACATGTTTTTTATTTCAATAAAACATTGTTCTTAAAGTTTCAAGATAACTACTACTACAACATTAAAATAAAATTATATTATATTATATTAGAAAACTCTATTCTTGTAGGAAATCTTTCTTTTTTGTTTTTTTTTTTTTTTCTACACGCTAATGGAAGATATTATTGTACTTTTCTAACAAGAAAAATGTATGTATTTCTTATTTGTTCCATGTGAATTATTATGCGAATATAATGCAGTTGCAGTGACAAAACATAATCTAGACAATAATATAATTACAGTTTGAAATATGTGCCATCGCATACATTTTACCAGGTTGTAAGATTAAGTAATAGCTAGTACCGCTAGATGGCAGACAAAAATTCTCAGTCGATAAGATTAAGTAATAGCTAGTACCGGTAGATGGCGGCACGAGTTTAGTTCGAGAAGGTTGATTGCTGTTACTCGGTCGGTAAGTTATTTTTAAGCTACATATTTTACTGATTGTGAGTTCATAAAAATGATAGAAGTTTAATTTTTAATTTTTATATATATATATTCATTTATTAATTGTACTCTGTACACATAGTATTATCAAATAAAAAAAACAAAATAAAATATTTTAAATATTTGTTTAAATTGTTTTATTACACCTCCATTTTTTTTTATGATATAATAATGATATACTTTTATACGACAATAACAAATGTTAATATTTCTCTATTTCGTTCCTCCGTCCTAATAAATAATAACGAATAGCCTTCTACGTTTTTTTAGATATTCGCTAAGCTATAAAAAGGTTTGGTCCATTTCTTTTCATGAAGTTTTTTTGGAACATCCGAAAAAAACCGAAAACTCACTAAGGAGGGTATATGTCTCCTGAAAATCTTTTCGGAAATGCATCATTTCAAAAACATACTTTCTTTGACGGTATTTCACAGATGAATACAATTTTTCAATACATTTGTCATTATAAGAGATTATTCTATTCTCATATCACGTGTTAACTCTTATTTCACACATAATCATCCATCATCGTGTAGTTTTGAGAATAGAAAAACGCAGGAACTTAGTTGGCAGGAACTTCTTGTTTGTTATTAAGAAGTGTAGTAGCGTTTTCTTGTATGGCTGGAGCTTGTTCAACGCAACGCCACAATCCGTAAGTTTTGCCAACCGTTGTTTGCCATAATCTCAAAGTACCATCTTCCGAGCCACTTGCATAAAGTTCTCCATCCGGTGAAAATCGTACACAATGTACAGGACCAAAATGTCCTTTAAACGATTCTATTCGATCACAAATGTACACAAGTTAAATAATACCTTCATAAAAACAGAAAAAAAAAAGAAAAAAAAAGCAAAGTTACAATATAATATGAGATTAACAGTACCTATTTCTGTACCAGTCAAATAATCAAATTTATACATTTTTAAGTCTTCACCGCCGCATACAAAAATACTACAATCAGGATGTAAACTGGCACTATTTGCTTGAGTTGGTACTGTAAAGTCACGTATTTTAATTAACCTAAAACAAGAGAAACAGAAAAATGTAGTGTTATTTCTATAAATATAAAACAAAAGAAAAGAAAAGAAATAAAAAAAGTAGAGCATTGAGAAGTAGACATATATCGAGTCATGCGATATTTCATTTGTATGCAGGAAATACTTTTTATGAGGCCAAGGTGAGCTGGCTGGCTGGCTGACTGGAGCTGACGCATGAGCAACGAATTAACAAGTACATGACAAGGAAATTAATTGAACGTGAAACGCATGTTAAACGCATATTAAACGCATGGTAAAAATATCCTAGATGGACACACATATACCTTGAACTATTTACAAATAATCTTACATGTAAAAAAAAAAACATAACAAAACATTATTTAACGACATACTCTTTACTATCCCAGAAAGTAACGATGTTTGAATGAGTAGTCGTGATGATACTGCCATCCTTAGATACTTCCATAGAATTAGGTATGGCAGGAAAATCTAACCTCCTAACTTCTTGACTACTATTTCTATCCCAAACTCTTAATGTTTTATCATCGGCACAAGAAACCAATGCAGTATTGTCTTTGAAGAAAGTAACATGCCTGATACCACTCGTATGACCTTTGAAAACCTACAATTTTTATTTTTATTTGTTATTTACAAGTTGCATAATGGACAATAAATAAAAAAGTATTTCTTGCCTGTGGTGCTGCTTCTGGTTGATTTAGATCATAAATACGAACTAATTTCTCATTAGAACCGGTACACAAGTAATTCGAATCAGAGCTAAAGTTAACCGATTTGACAATGTGATTATGTTGGAAGGAATAAACTTCTTCTCCATTGATGGCATCCCAAACTTTAGCATTAAAGTCAGCTGCACCAGTTGCTGCTCTAGTTGCATCCCGGTTCAACGCGACACCCCATACTGCACCTTTGTGACCTTCGAATGTACCAATCCAATCTCCAGTGTCACCCTGTCGCAACATTGGCTTCCCATCTGACAATAAAAAACAATTCCCAATATAATCGATGTATAATAAAAGAGTAAAAGTTAGCCGGCATTGCCATGACGGCTTTAGGCAACAAATTGGGCCAAGGTAATCGGAACGATTGTGATTGTAGAAAGACAAGAAAAAAAAGAAAAAAAGAAAAAAAAAGAAACAGGAGACAAGAATGAAAGGAATATTTTAATACAAAATAACACACACACACACCCAATTTTGTAAATACAATGTTTATATAGGGGGATTTGATGTTGTTACCTTTACAAGCGGAAATAAGATAATATCCAGATTCGGTGACATCGGAAAATGCAAGGTGCACGACGGGTCTTGTGTGTCCACTGCACGTTAGCGGTATCTGTCTCAGATTCGCCATTGTTTCATTCCTTTACGTTTAAATACGAGGATTTATATACACGTTTGAATCCAAAATTGTTGTACAATGAATTGTTTGAATTGTTCAAAGTTAACGTAACCAACGTTACTTTTATTATTAAATAACAACTCTGTCCTGTATATCCTGTTGTTTGTAATTATTACTGTACTTTCTCAACACTTATACACGTACGTATGTGGGGTGGTGATAGATAGTGACATACGCGGCGAATGCATATACACACGCACATATGCGCGCGCGCGCGCGCGTGTATATGACAAACTAACAAACGTTGACGTTGACTCGAAATGAAAGGTCTCCTCTCTCGTGTACGCTTGAAACGTACTCGAATCCAGCCACCGTTGCGACTGCTTACGACTCCTTACCAAATGACACTACTACCAAATGTATCCGCCATTGTTGTTTCGCAGGTGTACTGCGGGCTGCGGCCACGGCCAAGTTCACACCAGTAAAGCCAGATCGCGGAACATTTCGACCTCTTCTCTCAAGCCCAGCATGCCTCGCAACAAAAAACAAATTTACGTGTCGGCGGTGTGTCGAGAAACCGAAAGAAGCCGAGGTTAGCTGCACGACAGAGGAGAAATAATACCCCCACCACACGTTGTTTTACACCTTGTTCAAATGTGCATTGTGTCCATGTATTTCTCCGCGATGCGTGATGGGGGTATTATTTCTCCTCTGTCGCGCAGCTAACCTCGGCTTCCCTCGGCTTCTTTCGGTTTGCCGACACACCGATTGGTTCTCACAGGAAGAAAATCTGTTGCATTGGTTAAACAAACAATATGGCGGCCTCGAAGAGGGCTCGTTTCAAGGATGAATAAACGAGTCGTCGATTTCCTTTCGATCCTCTTTTTTTTTTT